ATATATGGGTTCTAAAGAAGTCAAAACATTGAAAAGGCTAGAACAGTGGTTTCTAGGGTCAAGGGTCAGGCATCAGGGCTGAAAATGGAGAGATGTAGGTAAAAATTACCAAGTATGTATGACATAGGTGTAGAATGTAGTGTGCAGTATGGGGACTGTTGTCAATGACACTGTCACATGGTGGAAATTTGCTGAGAGAGTGGATTTCCGATGTTCTTTCCTAGATACTCACAAGAGCAGCTATGTGGAGATGAGAAGACATGCCAATGTGCTTGACCAACAATAATTTCATTATATATACAAGCATCATATTCTATAACACACACATACACATACATATGCATGCATGTGCACACACACACATACACAGACACCCAACAAAAATGTCATTTCAACTCTTACTCTGCCCTAGTTTCCATTTTAGGTAGAGCACAGAGGCAGAGATACATCCTAGCCCATGGGGAGAAGGCTTAATTTCACCTTGTTCTTTACCTCATTGTTCATTTTTCTTTTCCTGTCACATATAAGCTTGGTTTGCCCAAAGCTCACTGTGTCTATGAAGGCTGTGGCAGCCGGATGGCAGGAATGACATCTGGTTGACTGGGTCCTTGATAGACACAACTTCTGGGTGGAAGTAGAATTGGTGTAGAGCAGAAGGATTTGGAGAGTGTATGTCCTGAGTACCCAGACTGTAGTCGTCCCTTGCTCTCCTGGAAGGATTTGGAGAGTGAATGCCCCAAGGATCCTGGTTATAATCATCTGTTGCTATTCTGGAGGGATTTGTTCCAGGATCCCACAGAGGGACATGGATGCTCAAGTTCCCTGTGTAAAATATAGTTGGATTTGTGTACCTCACACATCCTTTTGGATCATTTAAGTCATCTCTAGCTTACAATACCCCATGCAATATGAATGCATACAAAAACTGTTTAGACGGTAAACAGTGATTTTCAACTTTTGGGGTGGGGTGACATCAAATGACCCTTTCACAGGGGTTGCATGTCAGATATCCTGCATATCAGATATTTACATTATAATTCATAACAAAATTACAGTTATGAAGCAGCGATAAAAATAATTTCATGGTCAGGAATCACCACAACATAAGGAACTGTATTCAAGTGTCACAGCATTAGGAAGATTGAGAATTACTGGTTTTGAGACTAGTGGCAAGGACGGTGGTTTATATGTGTTCAGCTTAGGTATAGTTGTTTTTGCTAAGTTTCTTTATCATGCTAGTGGTTGAATCTGCAGATGTTGACTCTGAGAGTGATGTAGGTTAAGTGCTCCTGATAGGGGAGGGATGGGCACTGCCACCAGCTATTAGAGATGAGCTGGGCACCTGCACTGGGCAGGGCAATTTCTGTCCTGTGTTTTCTTCTCTGATTTCTTCCCCCCATCCTTTCTCCATCTTCCCTTTTCTCTTTCCCTATTATCTCTCCCTTGGTTATCAGTTAATGAATTTTCTCAGACTATTTTTCTCCATCTCCATACGGTGGTATGGCCGTAGGTTCTAATCTACGGCCATACCACCCTGAACGTGCTCGATTTTGTCGGGAATGAAAAGTTCTCATTTTTATGTTTTGTTCCTAACCAGAAAGTTTGGATTTCTACACTTACAACAAATTTAAATGGGTCTTTTGTGTATATTTATTGCAATATTTTTGAAGTATTGAATTACTAGCTAGTATAAAAGTTTTTTACTATTAGGTAAAAAAAACAATTTAAGTAATATCAGGGAAAGATTACACATGCTAGAACATTTATATTAGGCCTAAAATTAAAGACATTAAAATTTTCAGTTTAAACTTAAGCTTACTATTGTTGATCATTCAAAATATTGCCCCTTTTGCAATATTCTGAAAGCATTTTAGAATATTAAAGGAACATGGGATTAAAAAGCGCCCTATGAAATTGAGCTAGCAGACAACATTGGTTCCTTACAAAGCTATTTTAAGTTTGAACAATATAATTAATATGAAATATTAGAATTATGTGGCATTGGAAGAGCTGAGGTGGCCCAAAACTTTTTATCAATATCCTACTGGAAGAACTCTTTTCCCTGTTGAATTTAATGAAGGTAAATTATTAAACTAGTGTTGGATTCTCCAATTCTCCAATTCTCTGAATGTAGTTTTTCATTTTCTTATTCTGCAGCTAACCCAGGTCCACATAATCATAGACAAATTGACATAGATATGTAATAGAGACATAGACCACTCACTTTTTTGCCAAGATTTTATGTTTATTCTTAGATTACATTTGTTCATTTTGTCATTCAAATATTTAGCCTTAATGATATTGTCGTTGTTACATCTTTCTGATGAAAAGGGCCATGGATACTGCCATACAGTCAATAGATCTTCACTCTCCATGTTCTGAAGCTGTGAATGTGGTGGGTGCATGCAATTTTGTGATTTTCTTTTTTTCTTTTTTATTACTTTAATTTTAAATAGCTTGTTTCACATGCCAATCCCAGTTCCCTGTCCCTCCCCTCCTCCTGCACCTCCCCACCATCCCCTCCCAGCCTCCCACCCTATTCCCACTTCCTTCCACATAGGGGATATCTAGAGTCTGGCATTTCACACAGGGCAGGGTCAGGCATTCCCCTAAGGGTCCAGGCTGAGAGAGCATCCCTCTTTGTGTTATGGACACGCGAAGTCCGTTTGTATTCCAGGGATAAACACTGATTTACTGCCCAGGGCCCCATAGGTTGCCCAGGCCTCCTCACTTACTCTCACACTCAGGGGGTCTGGATCAGTGCTATGCTGGCCTCCCAGCTGTTGGTCTGGGGTCCAAGAGCTCTCCCTTGTTCAGATCAGCTGTCTCTGCTGGTTTTGCCAGCCCATTCTTTGCCAATTTGCTCATTGCTCCTCTCTCTCTGTCACTGGGTTCCATGGGTTCAGTTCAGTGTTTAACTGTGGATGTTTGCCTCTGCTTCCATAAGTCACTGGATGAAGGTTCTAGGATGGCTATAGACATCAAGTTTATTATCAGGAATGGGCATTCGAGGTGGTTTCTCCACTATTGCTTAGCTTGTCAGTTGGTGTCATCCCTTTAGATCACTAGAGGTCTCACTGGTGCCAGATCTGTATTCTAACCTTTTAAAACAGGTAGGTCTGCTTTGTTAGGAGGCAAAATTTTAAGACAAAAACAAAACCCATACCTGGAATAATCATTTGAGGGTAGAGGCTTCATTTCAGTATGTCCCAAGTCTAACTCTTCTAGACCCACAGATCTTCACGATGGGCTGTGTCACTTGTTTATAAATGTTACAGGACCTTCAGTACCAAGTGGAGGGCCTCTGTGCTCAGTCACTGTCAATGTCCAGGTTTACCTGAGTTTCTTAGGTTGGGAAACTTGTAAGCACTGACAGATTGAATGTTGCGGAAGCAGCTGAGATGGTTAAACAGACACAAAGGTTGTAAAAACCTCAAATCCAAGAGAGTCATTCTCACCAACTTTCTGTCCTCCCCTGCACATTCACAGGCACCCTTCACTTCCAGCTCTTTTTCTCTGTCCTCTGTCCTTGTGACCTTATGTAGCTTTTTATGACTGTTATTGTAGTGAACTATTGGGAGAATAGAGATGTTTCTTTTCATTAAAATGAATGAAATTAAATAATGCCTATTAATATAGCAATGAAGTCATAGACTAGACATTTTCACTTTCAAGTTGTTGTTGCTTGAATCATTAAGATGCTTTTTGCACTCATTTCTAATTATGAAATGTTTTATTATTTATTAATTAATTAATTTTTCTGAGACAGGGCTTCCATGCATAATAGTCCTGGCTGCCCTGGAACTGCTTTGTAGACCAGGCTGGCCTTGAACTCACTGAGATCACTGAGATCCACTTGCTTCTGCCTCCAGAGTGCTGGGATTAAAGGCATGTGCCACCACCCCTCAGCAAGTATATGTTTTAGAAGATAAGAATCACATGGGTTGGGAAGTGTAGCTCAGTGAAAGAGTGCTTGCTCAGTATGCACACGGTCCTAGTCCTAGCAACCCCCCCTCTGTCCGTCTCTCACCACAAAGAACAGGTAGACTAACAAGCTATCAAGCAAACAAAACTGAAAACAAACAACCACCCCCAAATCAGTGCACAATAACAAAATAGTCAAGGATGCACCAGTGGTTTCCAGCGGACTTCTGAGCTTGCTAACCTTCTGCAGATGTTATAATGGGAACATGACTTAGTTCTTGGGGTCATAAATGACTCTTGTGGAATACGTGACTGAGAAAGTTGGGTGTGCACTTCCTGGCAATTTTCATTTCCTCTGAACCAACAAGTTCTGCTTATCAGAGGACCCATTTTTTGTCGAATCTAATTAACAGATGAACAATTTTGGATCTGAAAATGTTGACATAGGTGGAGACACAGGTTGACTGAGCTTTTGCTGCTGTTTGCATAGTTCCAAGTCTGTGCTCACTCAGCAATGACTAGCCCTCTTGAGTTGTCTGAGGTTTTCTTACCTGGAAAAAGAGATGTGAACAGGAGGTCCTGAAGATGTGACATCAGCTTGGTTTTTTGGCTACTTTTGACAGAGCCTTTACTATGCGATGCCCATCTTCTACTCTGTACATAAAGATTGTGGTCAGAGTCCGCTAGTGATTAGTCAAGATAGCAGATTCTTGGGGGAAGTCCCCTTGGAGCCTTCTGTCTTGGCCAACTACAGCAGCAATATGGGTCTGCAGAATTGTAAAGTGATACTTTTCAACAGTCCTTAAAAAACCTTTCTATAAATTTAACAATAAACTCAGAAAATATTCCAGTATGAACACTAAAACAGAAATCACAAAACCACTTATAATACTTAATATAACTGTGTACTTCCTTTGCTATGCTTAATGCTTGTCCAGTCCTATTTCTGACTTTGAAGAGTAGGAATTTCTCTTGCAGATTCATTCTCAATGATGGCTATTCTTTATGAAACTATCAGAAACGGATGATCAGTGTGTAAGATATAATTAATCAATATGACATTCTTTGTTTTGTAGGGTGGAGAGCACTGTTACTACCACGGAAGCATCAGAGGTGTCAAAGACTCCAGGGTGGCTCTGTCAACATGCAACGGACTCCAGTATGTAGGAATCTGCTTGGTCCTCCTGACATCCAAGCTTGCTCATACCCACTCACTCTTTCTAGTTTTTATTTTTCAGATATTTTATCTTAGTGACTTTTTTATGTCAGTAATGTGTTGGGCATTAGATAGACACAGAGTAGTTCCAGGGAGCTAAAGTCCTCATTTCTCTTAACACCTGACTTTGTAGGAAACTCAGAAATTAAGCTCATGATTATGTAAATCAATAATTCCATTCTGGTTGATGCTATGAAGGGGTTAGGTAGGGGTGTATTAATTAACTTTCTGTTACTGGAATGAAATTCCGAAATAATCACCTGATAAAGAGAAAAATATTATGTTAACTCAAGCTTTGGAGGTTTGACTCCATGATGGGCTGGCCTCATTACTTGGGGCCACTTGTGAGGAATCACATCACTGGGGAAGGAATGTGTGTAGTAGAATAAAGTTGCTCAACATATGACTAGGAGAGAGGGATGAGGAGGAGACTATAGCTCTACAATACCCCCTCCAAGGCATTCCTCCCTATCATGAGCTAAAGACTTCTTACAAGGCTTGTAATGGTTAACTCATGAGGATCCCATCACCTCCCAGTAGTAGCACCACTCTGGTTTGTAATCAGATAATTAGTAATAGTCTTGTTGGGGCATTTAAGACCCAACTCTAGCAGGAAGCTAACAGAGGCTCAATCTAGTTGATACATCACCTATAGGTCTATGTCAAAGGTCAAATAAGTAGGATTCGATCTAAGTCTTAACTAGGCGTCAGCCAGGGAAGGATAGGATGCTAAGAGGAACTCATAATCTTCCTGAGGCAGACTCTTTGAAGCCATGCGTAAACACATTTTAGATCCAAATCAAGTGGTGTCTCAGATGAAGAGTTAGCTTTAGCCATGAAACAAAAAGGGTCTTAAAACCCTTTTCAAACTTTATTTTAGAGAAAATCTCATGTCTCCCTAAGTTAAATGTGGTCTATGGCATACTGCTTAATAGGCACTCACAATTCACAAGTGTAAAGATACTTCTTCCAGCCAGAATCAGAGACGGTTTAGAATATTCTTAGATGATGGAGTGGTCAGCTTTCTTGTAGGTGATACATAACAAGAAATATGTACTAGTTGCATATGGTTCTGGAATAAGCGGTTCCTCCTGCCCCCATGACGTGAGAAATCTTATTCCAGATCAGTGTTGTCATTGGCTTGTTTTTAAAAGTAAGTTATGCCAAGCAGAGTTTGCATTCTCTGGGGGAGTGCCTTATGCTTTTGTAGCTTGTGTGCTGCCTAGTAGAGTCCTTGGAGTGCTGAGACCATGACAGGGTTCCATGAAGCTACTTGGAGTTTACCTGGGACAGTATGAAGACATTTTCCCAGAGGCACTCTTTCCATGACTCTGTTGAGATGCCCGCTTGCCTGTCCTCACTGTTTGCCACACTTGATGACTCTCCTTCCGGTGTCTTGTGTTACAGTGGCATGTTTGAGGACAACACCTTCGTGTATATGATAGAGCCGCTGGAGCTGACTCATGATGAGGTGGGTCTGTGACATTCGTTTCCTTATGGTATTTTATTTTTCCAGCATGTGAAGACAAAACACATCAAAGACCATTTATCCATGTAATGTGATTTCAGACTTCTAATTGTACAATGCCAGGCCCTTGTGCCAGTGGCGGCAGATCAGAGTTATCATACCTAGGTATTCGGAAGCAAGCCCATTCTTTCTGGTCTTTGCAGAGAACAGAGAGGGCTTTTGTTTTGCACTGAGCAGTCTGGACTCCATTAGACAAGCTTTCATTCCCAATACCTTCTTTAGATCATTGTGTAAGAACTTACCTTTTTTTGTTACTAGACATTTTTAGTGGGAGAAATCTGTGGTCTAAACAATGGTACATGCTGCAACATACAGTTTTGAAATGGAGAAGAAAACAGTGTTTCATCTTATACAGGCCAGCAGCCATAATCAGAAATCCTGTGTTCCTGCCATGCTGCTGACTGTGTTACCAACTTTAAAGGTCAATTTGTAGTCATCAATATTATTTTGGGGGCTTACTACATTTTACATTCATGATAAAACCGGTGTCCCGAGATTCATGAATGGGGATGTAAAAGATGAATAAGGGACACACATGACATTTCAGATGATGGCATCACTGAGGAGAGCAAAGGGCCATCGAGTTGTGGGGCAGGGGATCTTGACTCCCAGAGCTGTGAAGGTACAAAGGCTCTGGGCCAGGTGCTGCTTGCTGTGTTCTGCTGTCTTTGGGAGATGTGACCATGTTGGGACAGGTGGGAATTGGCAGGTGAAGACAGGGTGAGGTCACAGCAGGGGAGTGAAATGAGGAGAGGAACTAGTAATGAGAAACACTGTATTTTGAGAGTGGTGATCAAAATGACACAGTCATTTGAGGGAGAGCAGAAAACTGCAGTCCAAGCCTCCTGTCTGTTTCCTGAGTATTCTCCGTGTGCTACCATGTTCAGATTACACATTAAAAAATTAAGAATATAGTAGTTACTGAGGCTTTTAAAATTTATCATTCATCTAGCTAGCTAGCTAGCTACCTATTTATTTAATATGTATGAGTGCGTGTGTGTGTGTGTGTGTGTGTGTGTGTGTGTGTGTGTGCGTGCATGCACTGCTTGAGGAGGTGAGCAGAGGGCTTCAGAGTCCTGAGAAGTGGAGTTACAGTTGGTTATGAGTAGCCATGTGTGTGCTGGGAACTGAACCTGTATCCTCTGCAAGGGCAATGAGAGCAACCTCTCCAGCACCAACATCTAGGTTTAAATGAGGATAAAAGGCAACATTTATTTTCTTGTGTGTGTGTGTGTATCTGTACATACATACATGTATACATACATACATATATGTGTATATATATATGACTATACAGATACACATACATGACTGTGGGATAACTTTTCAATTCTGAGACAGAAAAGCCATTAAATTGTACAAGGTGATATTTGAGCAAGCCGGTATGTGGTTTTGATGAAAAACTTTTTAACTTCCCAGACAGTGATGACAGTTTATCCTAGATTAAGAAGTTTTGATGAGTAAAACACTCTCCCTATTCTATGAACAGACAGATAACCATACTACAGCAAAACTGTTAGACATTCAGCAAAACACCTGACATTCGACTCTGATTAGCTGCTCTCTCACCTCCCTCACTGAAGAAACCCCCAAAAGAAAACAGCAACAGGTCCAAAATAGCTCTCTAAGCTTTTGCATTTTAGGAATGTATAAATGGGGTAATTTCCAGTGCATCTGTAATAGGACAGTTTTTGCAGACTGGGTGAATTCATAAATGTGTTGCAATGAATGCTGAACTGCTAAAAGGGTTCATATATATGCAAACTCTTATTATCAAATCGTTTAAAGAACTGTGCTTCATCGTTATAGTGCAATTATATTGCTTGGGGCTGATGGTTCCATGCTTGTTATCTTCTGTCCTCTGCCTGCCTCCCACCGCCTCCCTTTTGTTCACAGAGTGATTTGTTCTTATTTCACTGTGGGTGGGGGCAAAGGAGCAGAACTTGAAACTTTAAATTAATCGTAAAAATCATGTTGCAGATTCAGAAGTGAACTTCACTACACTAGGTGTCTTTTTATGTTATCAGAATAAAGAGCTGACTGGAATAGAATTTTCAATTTCTGGATGTTCACATTATTGTTAGTATTACTTTTATCATACTTTGTAGTAAGTCAGAAGTGTGGACAGGATAGTTCCACTGAGAATTCACATTCTGTTGCAAGTAGAAGGTAAATGACAATATCTTTTGTTATTTTCTATCAAATGTAATAAGAGGCCCTTTTTAATAGCTATTCTTATGATTACAAAACTAATGTATTAGCTGAGTGTGGTGGTGTATGCCTGTGATCCCAGCTACTCAGGAGGCTGAAGCAGAAGGAATTTCAGTTCAAGGCCAGGCTGGGGAACTTAGTGAGACCCTGTCTCAAATAAAGTTAAAACAAACAAACAAACAAAACAATACCAAAACAAAAAACAGGCTGGAGATTACATGAGTCTGTTGCCTCATATACATGAGACTCATAGTTCAGTTATCAATATTGCAAAAGCCCCCAAATCTAATAATATATTAGACAAATTGAAAAGCAAAATAAACACTTCACTAAATAGTAATTATCCATCATCATACCATCCTCAAAGATAATTTCTCATCATCTTTTAGCAAATACTCTTACATTTTTTCAATTAGACATTTACATATACATTTTAAATAAATTGATTGGATCGTTTTATAGCACAACTTAACCCAATAATGTGTCTTTCTGAATCTCAGTATTTGCTAAATAGAAATGCAAGGGTTGATCTTGGTCAACTTGACATACCTAAGATGAGGGAAGCAAGTTCAGCTGACGAACTGTCCCCATCAGAATGGCCTGTGGAACATTGTCTTAATTGTTAATTTTTGTAGGATGGCCAAGCCCACTATAAGTGGCACTATCCCTAGACAGGTGGCATAAAATAGGTATCTCTGGACTATAAAAAGGTAGCTGATGGTGGAGAGATGGCTCAGTGGTTAAGGGCACTGGCTGTTCTTCCAGAGGACCTGGGTTCAATTTCTAGTATCCACATGGCAGCTTACAACTCTACCTCCAGGGGATACAGCATCGACAGACATACATGCAGGCAAAATGCCAATGCACATAAAACATATAAATCATTTAGGTAAAAAAAAGGTAGCTGAGCAAACCAAAGGAAGCAAGCCAGTAAGCAGCATTCCTCCATGGTTTCTGCGGCTCCATGGTTTCTGCTTCAGCTCCTGCTTCTAGGTTCAGACTTCAGCTCCTGCCCTCACTTTCTTCCATGATGAAGTGTAACCGTAAGCTGGAATAAACCCTGTCCTTCTCAGGTTGGTTTTGCTCAGTGTTTTATCATTGCAATAGGAAGCAAACTAGTGCAGGGATAGAATACAGACCATATGGGCTTCTTGTTGGGAATAAATTGAATAATACATACACCAGTGCTGGTTGGCAGCCATTAAGCACTCGGCTTTCAATGCTGTTCCCACTTCTAATAATATAGGGAGTCAATGTCACTTCTAGGCCAAAGGATATGGATATTTTCAAGGTTGCTTATGGGTGTTACTAAAATCTTCCTCAAGCTGTGTTACCAGTGCTGTATGAGTACATTCTGCCTTGCAGCTGTAATTGACTATGGGTGTCACAATTTTTGAATCATTTACAAGTTGGTGGGAAATTGCTGTTTCATCTTTTTGGAATTTGTGTTTTAAAGGCTTATTAAAGCACCAGCGTTTTTCTCATGCTGGTGGATGTTCTGTCCTTTCTTATTCATTTCCCACTTGGGGCTTTGAAAGAAGGGGAGATTTAAGAGCAACTGACAAAACTGTGCTTTGATCTAAAAATGGGGCAGGTGAAGGGCACTGTTTTATTTAAAATTAAAGATTCAACAAGGCATATCCTTTTCCTCTGGTTAGCTAACGTCCTCGGGTTATCAAGGGTATTAGAGGAAACAGCAGTCTGCTAACACGGATGCATAGAGTGTCTTCATGTCTTTCTTTTCATTTCCTACAATTGTTTTTGTTTCAGAAAAGCACAGGTCGACCACACATAATCCAGAAAACCTTGGCAGGACAATATTCTAAGCAGATGAAGAATCTCAGTAAGTTTTAATTAAAATAGCCATGATATGTGGTGCAGGCTGTGACTTGACAGACCTCTGGAGTCGTGCAGTCTTGTTGGGAAGGGAAATTGGTCTGAGAGCTGGGGTCAGCAGCGTGGGTGGGAAGTGGAGTCCCAGCTGAGCCTTGCGTGGGATGAAGCATAGAGAGTTGTTTCAGTGGAGATGACAAATTAATCTCTGGTGTGAAGCTGGGCTGGGAGCCTGAGTCTGGCCAAATGTAAATGAGTGATTACTTTAGGTCCAGGCGGACTTTTGTGTTTGCTATTCCCCAGCCATTCTGCGTTACCTCCCCCGTCCACTCTGTCCCCAAAGCATCTGTAGTATGCTAATATAGACAAACGCTTCTTCTGATTTCCTGGGGGTTTGTGATACTATTACTATATACTAATGCACAGAGTCTTTTATAATTTGTACAAAATCTTATGCCACATATAATTTTAAATTCTAAAATGCACTGGGAAAACGTAGTAGAATTCTTCCAATATTGTTAAACGGCTGTAGGTCAAAAACCATCATCTAATCAACCTTGGACACCTCATAGTTTTCATGATGGAAAGAAAATAGCTTAGTGTGTGTGAAACGTTGAGCAATCAATGTACTGTTTCACTGTAGGCTATTTTGGCTTTGTGATGACATTTATTATTAATGGCACGGTCCCTTCATGTAATATTTGAAGACTATTCTCAGTGGAATGCTGTCCAAATCCATTTGGTGTTCATTTTCCTCTAACACAGGCACAGATGGCAGTGACCAGTGGCCTTTGCTACCTGAATTGCAGTGGCTGAGAAGAAGGAAGAGAGCAGTGAATGTGAGTGTGGCCTTAGGCTATAGGAGTTACCTTTTATCCTTGGGAGTCTGCTCCCACGCCATCTAAAAGTTCCCCTTCAAAACAGAAACAGCACAAAGAAGCCTCCATCTCTTGAGCATCTGTAGCACAACGTTATTTTTTCTTCTCTCGCTATTAATGATTCAAACAGACTAGAGTGCCCTGTGAACCCTGATGTTGTGTAAAAATGTGTTGTTGTTTTAGTTCTATCTTCAATATTCTTATGAAAATCAGGGCACATTTTCCCCCTATTGGTAAGCACAGTAGGGCTGATGAGATGGCTAAGAAGGCAAAGCTTGAAAACCAGAGTTCCATCTTTGGGACCAACTGGTGGAAGGAGAGAATTGGTTCCGGTAGCTAACCTAGGTCTGCATGTACTCACTCTCCCAATACAAACAAACAAATAAGCAAGCAAGCAAGCAAGAAGGGGAGAATTCACAACAGCATTAGAGATGATATGGCTTATACAATATCATATAAAACATTTTTGTTAAAAATGTAGGAAGAATTAGGGTTTGAAATATTGACTTGTCAAGTTTATTTGCATTCCTTCCAAATAAAAATGAGAAACTCTCTTATGCCGAGTTTGAAAGCTGGGTGAGTTTTTTAGAACAGAATTTCAGATGTCCTTTCCCTATTGGTGATATGACAGTGGCTAAGTGAAAGTCATGAAATGACATAGCCAGTGGCGGCTGTATGTCTTCTGTGCACTGATAAATGCATAGGAGTGTTGTAACTAAATATGTTCACAGTCTTTCTGTAGTAGATTGGAAGGCTGTAATGACTGGGACTATTTAGTAATTACATGGTGAATGCCATGTAACCAAGAATTAATTCTACAGCTTATAAGTTGCATGGTAATTCACTAGATAACTTAATGAGTAATTGTAGCACAAATTATACATTTTAGATAATACTTAGTTGAATGTCTTTTTTGTATTAAATTAATTAGATCCCTCAGCAATCTAAAAGTTAGTTCAAGTTTGAATCATCTTCTTGTATAGCATGCATTAGTGTTGTGCTAATCATGAATACAGTTTTTATGTTCACTTATTTAGAACTCTTTGCTTACTCTTGAAGATACTGTTGGCTCGTACAGCTTTCCTTCTACAGCAGTCTACCCCAGACTGATCTGTTACTATGTACACAAAGAAGAACCACCATTATTAACTTTTCAACCATGAAAAAAATAAGTGTGAATGAGAAGTATAATAGCCTTTATTCCTGCAAGTAGCTGAAAGTAGGCTCACTGTTACTAGACTTGTACTCCATTCAGTTAATTCCTGTTGACCACCCTGATTCCTATTTCAGAGATGCCTGATGTTCTCATGAATTTAAACTAAATTCCCTTTGACATTTTAAGTAAATATGAATATTTTATCATTTAATGCCATAGAAAGGAAAATTTACTTATTTTTAGCTACTATGCTATGCATTTTTCTCTAGACTAATTTTACATGGAGAAAAACACACAGCAACAACATGACCTATTTCCAATTTTGGTGAACAGAGATAGTGAAATTGTTTTTTTCTAAATTTTGTCTGTTCACTGATACTTTATAGTCACGTGTGAACAATTGTCTCACGAGGTTTCTTTTTGGGATATTTTTACTATAGATGATGAAGGATCCTGAAATTCAAGGCTTACCTGTTACTTATTGAGAAATAGAGATGCTTTATGTTAAACACTATTCTAACCATGAATTTCTTATTTTCTTTAGCCATCACGAGGGGTGTTTGAAGAAATGAAGTATTTGGAGCTTATGATTGTTAATGATCACAAGATGGTAAGAATATAGAACTGATGCTGTCTTAGCCACTGTTCTATGGCTGTTAGGAGACACCATGACCAAGGCAACTTATAAAAGGAAGCATTTAATCAAGGCCTTGTTTATAGTTTCAGAGGGTGAGTCCATCACCTTCATGATGGAAGTGTGGTAGGCAGGCAGGCAGGGTGCTAGAGCAGTAACTGAGAGCTTAGATTTGATCAGCAAGCAGGTGAGGGGGTTGGCATTGGCTTTTAAAACATCAAAGTCTACCTCAGTGACACACCTCCTCCAACAAGGCCACACCTCCTAATCCTTCCTGAACAGTTCCACCACCTATTGACCAAGTGTTCAAATATGTGAGCCTATGAGAGCCATTCTCACTGAAACCACCAAAAATGCCCAGCAGCTTGTGAAACAAGAAATGCATTTCACTTTTAACTATCCGTTATGTTTTACTAAAGTACGGATATTTAAACACAGTCTTTTGCTGATTGTAACTGTTCACTGTTTCTAGATGAAAAAGAGATAGTAATTAATTTTTATAGCTCCAAGTTTATCTCTTTAGTAGAGATTATAATGGGTAGATTTAACAATATAACATTTTTCACCTGTCTATGTTTAAAATGCTTATTGTCTGCTTTTCACAACTGGATGTTTGGTCACTGGGTCACTATTTTATTCTATGCTTTTGTTCTGTGAATGTGTGTGTGTGTGTGTGTGTGAGGCTCTGGGTTCTATCCATAGCAGTGAGCAAACAAGTAAACAAACAGTGAAAGATCTATCTATAGAGGCTGTTTTAAACCAGTGTTTTATTTCACTAAATATTACCAATATAAATAACTTTGTGTTGCACCCATGGAAGAAAAATACATTGCACTTAGGTAACACTTAAGAAAAATATGGGCAGAAATCACCACTTACAACCATTCTCTACTTAGTCATTTCCATTGCTATCGTCTGGGCATCTTATGGCCTAGGCTGTGTGCTACTGTGCCCAGTGCTGCTGGTGTGCGGGTAAATTTTTTGATACACTTTTAAAATATTAGTTCATGTTCAGTGCTTAACTGTTCCCATGATAGCTGATTTCAAGCTATTGAGACTGTTAATTGAATAGGTGAGGATGTGATTAAGTGATTTTTTTCTAGTCTTTTGCATCTGGCCTCACTATTGACTCACCTCCAAACTCATTAGGCCAGTGATTATTTTGTTATGGTTATGCAGTTTAATTCTAAACACTGCTCATTAATTGATTTTAGTTGAATTTATGGTGTAGAGTTGTATTTTTGAAAGACTTCATGAGGGTGAGAACTTTAAAAAATACTTAAAAGTCAGATATGGGTAAAACCTTATAAAATATTGGAATAAAAATTTAAGCTTTACTAGGTCCTTGTTTTATTTTAAGAAAACCAAAACTAGTAAACTATATGATAAAATTGTATTTTGTACTAAATTAGTCACATGAAATTCTATTCAACAGTCTCCTCAGAGAAGCCCTTGAAACGGTACATCATAAAGGTTTATTGCATATTTAATTTTTTATTTGAGTCTTTTACTTCAATGGTTATTTAAATTAATTACTGTTAATTACTAAGTGCTAATTCAGTTGTGTTGAAAATTATTTTTCCTGGTGGAATTCTTTTTATTTTTGTAGACAACTTCATTTTCTGTCAGTCTTTAAGTAAATTTCTTGAGATATACTGGTAAGAAGGAAAATTTGTTAGAATTGTATATAACTTACTTAGGAGAAGGCATTTCTAGTAAGGAAAACCAAATGTTCTGGTGGTGACTTGCTCTAAGAAAGTGTTACATATGAGTTTCTGACAGTTGCCAGTGGGGCCATCTTGATCTGAACCATTTTTGTTGACTGAGTTTCTTCCCAATTATTTTTCAAACCTCATGGCTGTGGCATGCTGTGAAATTATGTCTTTATAAGCCTGAGCTTTCCCTAATGTCCACTATACAAGTCTTGTAAGGTAGAGATACAGCAATTAAGACGTATACTACACTGTTGAACATTCAAAGTACATGTGCATTCCTCCCAAATGAGTAATTGAGAACATCAGTTCTTTAAAGACTTACTTTATTCCCTGTTATTAGTGTGTGTGTGTGTGTGTGTGTGTGTGTGTGTGCATGTGTGAGAGAGAGGAGAGAAAGAGAGCTCACAAGAGTACCACTGTAACCCCAGTTGTACATAGAATGCAATAGCTCCTTTCTCAAAAAATATTATTTTTCTGCAAAGAAAAATTTTCTTATACCACATATTTCATTATAAAAATGGTCATCTTACTTGGGGGCATCATATCTTTTAATTGATTTTAAACATTTATTACTGTGTATGTGTGCGTATGATGTGTATGGTTGTAAGTATGCGTGGTGTGAAGGTCAGAGGTCAGCTTTTAGGGACCAGTGTTTTCCTTCTAGCTTGTCTCTAGCGTGCTGTGCTCCAGGCTAGCCAACAATTCTCTCTCCACTCCCCACTGTACCGTAGGGGTGCTGGAGTTACAGATGCCTGCCTTCAGTTCTTTTTTAAATGCGTGTTCGGAGGATTGAACTGTAGGCAGGCTTGCCAGGCAAGCGCCCTTACCCACTGAGTCATCTTCACCAGCCCACATCTTTTCATTACAAAAGAAATCCTAGCTTTTAAATCAACAAAAGTTTGGGTTTTCATTGCATTACAAAAATTCATATTGCATGAGAACTGGGTATGATGCTGTAATGATGCATTTGGGAGGAATGTATTTTAAAAATATAAAACTAACAACTTGATTTTTGAATGGCGATATTACTTTGGACTAATAGCACTGACTATTTCCTTTGCTGTAAGACCAGGCTGCATTCTGTTCTGTCATCATCCCAAATGATTATTTATTTTTAAGAACCCTCATAAAAACTGAGAAAAGCCCCCCTTTTGAGGTAATCTTCCTATCAAATGAAGTTTTAAGATATAATTGCTGCAAAGACGCAAAAACTGAGCAGAGAGCAGAGCACCGCATTGCCATGCTGCAAGCCAGAGTGAGCCAGGCTAAGCGAATGCGTCAGTTTCTTACACCTGGAGATTTGCTGCTGGGCTCTAGCATAATCGCCCCACCGAGAAGCCATGTTTGTACTGTACGAGCCAGCGGGATTTTTATAATTCTTACCTTTGGGTTGAAAATAAGGTTCAGCTTTAATTGTTTTCAAAAGGGCACATTTCTTAAGGGGCTCATTTATTCGGGCAGTGAAAGCCAATTTGCTGGTTTAAATGGAAATGGTTTTCAGTGATCAGAAAATGTGAAGGTAAGTTTTATCATAAATGGAGCTCGCACATTTTTCTTTATTTGCCAAATTAGTTCTCATTCATGCAGGAAATGGAAACATTTTGCCTACATTTGCATTAAAGCTTCCCCCTCTAATATTGGCTGCCTGAAGAATTGCACCTATCGTATTTTGAACAAGCAGCCCAATTATCAGTGGCTTTCAATTAGGAAGAAAAAAAAATCTCTCAAATTTGTAGAAAGCATCTTGGTACCTAGCTGGCGGAACCTAATTTGTGAGCAATTATAGCTTGATAACAGTCTGCAAACATTTCTTTGAGTTGCTTAAGCTAAAAATAAATATTAAAAACCGCCTAATAAAAAATCGGTTGAGATATTTCAAAGCATGGGCAAAGTCAGTGTTTTGCTTCCATTACGGCTGTGTTATTTAATATGAACCAATAAGGGCAAATCGATGATGACTCAAATATTTTTTCAATTAAAACTTCATTTGGTTTTCCTTACTTAAAAACTACTGTATTTTTTATGCACCAAGCAAATTATAAATTTTCATCAGTAATCCTGACTTGTTGGGGCCACATAATAAACAATAGTTTATAACTCTTTCATAAGAATTATTAACTGAACAAGTTAATCTCATCTTCCAGTCCAGAAAAAGACAATTTTTTTCAGTCCCATGATCCCAGATAAGTTATTGGAGGATAATAAATCTCACTTCATAGAGTTGGAAGGAATGGCTATTTGTTGTAGGAGAAACACAGTTTCTCATAGACCCTAAGTGCCTCGTAAATGAAGTTTCGAGTCAATGAAACTAGTGTTGTTTTCTCTGTGGGGCTGGGAACCCAGCAAGTGCACTCATTCTGCCTTCCTTCCTTCCTCCCTCCCTCCCTCCCTCCCTCCCTCCCTCCCTCCCTCCCTCCCTCCCTCCCTCCCTCCTTCCCTTCCTTCCTTCCTTCCTTCCTTCCTTCCTTCCTTCCTTCCTTCCTTTTTTGAACAGCTGTCTCCTCTTCTGGTTTCTAAGACTGTAATTCTCTCTTGTTTACTCTATTTAATATCCGACTCTTCAGATTATGTGTGTACCCACTCCCCATCCCCAGCCTCTAAGTTGGCTCAGGGCTCTGTTGCATGCTTTCTCCCTGACAGTTTCCAGTTTCAAGTCTTTAGTTAGGATCACATCTTAGGATCTCTGAGCCCTACTTTAGAGCGCTAGACCACCGAGTTCCATACTCAGGAAACTGACTGTGAACTTGGCGCCTTTGCTTTGGTACTGAATAGGCAGCTCCATTTGGTTCCTCTAAATCACAGTTCAGAATTCTTGGACTGGTCCCAAATGTGCTTTTTGAAATTCATGTGTTAGGAACAGTTCCCAAATTCACATGACTGTGGTATTCAGAGGTAGGCACTTTGGGAAGTATCTAAGATTATTTGAGAACAAAAAATTATGAATTTATTATGCATTAAATATTCTTAATCTTTCTGAAAGGTACAATTGATTTAATAACTATAATTGAAGACAAATTTCAAAGGCTTAGTTTAAAGCATGCTTTTCTTTTTTCTTGTTGTTGTAAAAATAACAATAGCCTCATGGAGCAGTTAAGGGCATGGTGCTCATGCGCTAGCCTTGAGCTTTCAAATATCCTCCTCTTCAACATATGTTGAGTGAAGTGTGTGACTTCTTGATAAAAATAGGGCCCTTTGGGGTGGTGGAGTACAATGGCAGAACATTTGCTCTAAGTGGTAGAGTATGAAGCACCTGTGTCTCCGATACTACAAACAAAACAAAGCCTCCCCCAAACTCAACCAAATGCCCATAGATGTTTTGCTCTGTTCTTGAGGCAGCGCCTTGTTACAGTGTGCAGACAGTTCTTGAACTCCTGTACTCAAGGGATCTTCTGACCTCAGTCTCACAGGTACTGGGATTATCGGTATGCATCACTATGCCAGGCCTACGTATTGACATATAGAAAGAGCCATTATTGTTTGGCATACTTCCTTTGACTTTCTGGTTCCTTGTTGGCTTTGATCATCCAGAATAAAGGCTTGCTCTAGGAGTGCCATCCTCAGGAGGAATTTGCTAAATGCAAGACAAATGCTTCACTGTCATGGACAACATCTGAAGTGCTTCATGAAAAGAAATGGTCGTGACCTGTGTGTGTTTGGCCTTGAGTTTAAAGTGAAAAAGTTGTCCAATGGAGACTGGGTTTTGGTCTAAGCCCTTTGTAAATAGTAAAGATTAATTTTTATGAAAGCAAAAGAACTGAGTAGGTGGCTGTTAAGACTGAATTAAAAATTGACGTCTAGGGACAGAATTTCCATGAATACTTCTGTAGGCTCCTTCAGGCCCTGGGATATCTTGAGTGTTTTACAGTTTTGCTGCCTGGGTTTAGGCTGTAGGAAAAGAAAAAAAATGCAGCACTATTTCCAGTGTGGCACAGACAAATTTCTAACCTTTTGATCCACATTTCTAGTATCTCTCAGAGGTTTCTGCTAGTATGAAAATTTGACATTTAGTGTCAATTAAGACTTGATGGTGACTAGTCATCTTCTCTCCCTCCAGTATAAGAAGCACCGCTCTTCTCATGCACATACCAACAACTTCGCAAAGTCTGTGGTCAACCTTGTTGATTCTGTAAGTAGCCTGGCTTTCTTGAAACTTCTTTTCATTAATCCCATAAAGCATGGCTTATGTCTTCTTCTCTCTATTCACTGATTATGTTAGCAATTTCTTGGATGAAATAAATTTACTCACATACACATCCATACATATTCATATTCATATCCTGGTGAAGAACTGTTGGTGAGCTTTGTAAAAATGTATTCTGGGCTTTAGAATTCTCAGAATTCCCAAGACGCTTTAGCATTGTTTCTTTCTTTTAAGCTTATTGACTTTCATTAATTATCATTTTAATTCTTCATATCTGTGGGGTGCAGTGTGATAATTCGATACATGTGTATGGTATCTAATGAGCAAATCAGAGTAACCAGCATTGCCACCTCCTTAAACAGTAAGAAATGTTTATTAACCCACAGTAATTGTATAGCATTGCTTCTGTTATTACCAGAGTCCGTGGGGGATAAAGAGCGATGGAGGAAGACTGTAAAGCTGGAAATTATCCTCTGCAAATGAGACTTTATTAATAACTACTTGAGCTTTTCCTAAATATTTTGTGCAAGTGGAGAAGTCCTAATGGATTGAGGCAGCATGTGTTTAGAGGATTTAGATAGATGAAAATCTCAAGGCCATGAATTTATCATCTTAGTTCTCCTGTGGTGGAATGTTTCAGACTTAATTTCTAGCATTCTAAGTGATAGAATTGGGTGTCATTGCCATATAAAATAATTTGAAACAATGAAATGTCTACTTCCTTCAAAAGAGGTCTGACCCTCCATATCCTTCACTATTGAGTTGTGTTTCCCCTCCTGTCTCTTCCTAAGTTCCAAAGAATGATCGTTTAGATTTTCTTCTTGTTTCCTGCTTTGGTAGGAACCCCACAGAGCTGAATTTCTTACATTATGTTCCAATAAATAATTCAATTTGACTCACATGAATTAATTTATGTATTCTGCTGTGAAGTGCTACTTTGTTAGGCTAAATGTATTTTTATCTTGTATTTATTGTATGGTCTCTCTTAACTGTGAAAAAAATCCTTTTTATAAATTGCCAAGCATCTAAATGCTACTCACTCTGAGGATCTGCCTTTTAAACAGCCCCAAACCACCTATCATGTAAATATTCATAACATATTTTGTGCACCTAGCATATGTTATGTGCCTCATAGGCACAGCTGACAAAATTGTAATATGAGTTGATGTGCATAGAATATGTAATATAAAATTAAGGTTGAGCCCCTGAGAGTCAGTTTACATCTGCCTTATTACTTTTCTTTAATTTCAGCTCTTGTCAATCTGCTCAGAGAAAAGCTATAGATGGATATGGAAAAAAGAATCTTAAACACATCTTTTCCCATGCAAAAGCTATTTATTAGACAGCATCTCTGCGTTAGTCATTTTTGCATGATTGAATAGACTCATACTTTGCAAAATTTAATTTTTAGTTTGTGTTATATTTATAAAGTTCTGAAGCTGATTGTTCATTGCAAAAATATATTACATGTAACTCATCTTTGTGCAAGCCATTGTAGTGTCAATTTGATGATAATTTCTTTATTCAGTGTCTTCAAAGACTGTTCATTTGTTTTCTTAGATAGTGTAAATGAAAGACAACATGGCAGCTCTCACTGAAGTTGCTTACTTCTGTGAGTTATTTATTTGGCCCAAAGTAGAGAGAACAGAAGAATAACAAACTGTGTATGAGTGATGCCACTCTGCAGTGAGGGTGAGATTGGTGACGCAAACCTGTTTTTTCCCTTCTCTTGGCCTCAGATCTGTCATTCAATCTGAGAGTTATTAGGTTGCGTGGCAAGGCAGCTGTACCGCTTGATGAACTGTCCTACACCTGCAGGTTATATTACACTTAGAGTCATTATTTCAGGCTCTGACTTGTTGTCTCCTCTGGGGTTCGGAAAGGTTATTTTACTGAACCCCATTGTCAGAGCAGGTCTTGACTTGAGAATCTTGTCATCCCCACATCCCTCTCATAAGATGCCAGGCAACTGAAGATGCTGTAGTGGGGTGGAATTAATCTTTAGGAGAGTAAGAAATACTGACTTGTGGGATTTTTCTTCTTTGCTTTGGCTCTTGGGAAAAAAGAAAGGAAAAGCATATTGTGTATGATTAGCTAATTCTGACCCCATGTTCTCTCACCTCCCCCTCCTCCCTTCCGCTGATTGACTCACTGATTGTGCATGTTTGACCCAGTGTTTTCCTCCTGCACCTGTCCTGTTGTATGCTCTCAGATTTACAAGGAACAGCTCAATACCAGGGTTGTCCTGGTGGCCGTAGAGACCTGGACCGAGAAGGATCAAATTGACATCACCATCAACCCTGTGCAGATGTTGTATGAATTCTCCAAGTACCGGCAGCGTATCAAGCAGCATGCCGATGCGGTTCATCTTATCTCGTATGTGCCCCTTCTGGCTGTCGTTGCAGTTTTGGCATTTATCTTTATCTCCTTACTGTATCAGTTAAGTTGCATATCAGGGAGCAGTGACTTCTACAAAGTTGCTGCTGATCCCCTTCTCCGTTCATAGAGGTAGAATTCCAGGGCTGGGATGCTGTGGTTCCCCATGGCCACCATCTCTGCTGTGGGGTCGTAGAGCTTCCATCCTTAAGCTAAGATCACAATCTAAGATTCTGCTGGCACTGTTGCCATCATTGCAGGCAGCAGGAATGCCAGGCTGGGAGAAGGGCAAGGGGGCGTGCCTTCTGCAAAGTCAACATCTGTAGAGCAGGTTTCCTGAGCCCCTGTCACCCAGTTCAGAGTGTGCTAGATCACAGTCATGTGATCACACCTAGCTTTGGGAAGTCTAGAAAACGTCTTTGTAAAGATGGATCATTGAATACAGTTGTGTTTCTATCACTAAGGAAGAGGGCTATACTTCTCTTGGCTCTTCCTCTTTCCCTCTCATGGCAAAACTTTTCCACACATGCCTCCATGGTTCTGTCCTGCCATCAAACCAAGCGGCACATTCCTTCCTTCCTTCTGACCTTTACCTTTTAGCTCTCTCTCGCTCCCTCGGCCTTTATGAGACATATTTAAAAGAGTTTACTTCCAGTTGAGGATGGTTTTCAGGCTGTAAGGTGTGGTAGGATACTTACGTTTGGGGAGTGTTTATGTAGTGTTTTCTAACAGTCCTTTGTTTTCCTAAGGCGTGTGACTTTCCATTATAAGAGAAGCAGTCTCAGTTACTTTGGAGGCGTGTGTTCTCGCATCAGAGGGGTTGGTGTAAATGAGGTAAATTTCATGCTTTCTTTAACGAGAGTTGTGTCTTTGCAACTGATATCTTTATTTTTTTAATTTTTTTATTTTTTGATATCTTTCTTTATTAAGGCCCAGTGTATAACAGTTAATTTTTAAAATGATGACACTGAATGACAGATCAGTAAACAGGGCCCAAAGCCCTCCTTTAAGTTCATAGTGATAGCTTTGGATATCATCATGGTAGTTTTGCAAAGTGTAAACATTACCTGAAAATTGGCTTAGAGATTTCTTTAGGCCTATATAGTTAAGATGTTAAGCTTTTTATAAACTTGATCTAACTTTTTCCTATGATTTTTTAAAAAAGTTTTTAGTGTTTTCCTGCATATATTAGAATTAACTCATTTAAAAAATTACAGATTATGGTTTGTCTTTCTATATAAATTTTCATTTTTACCTTTTCTACTTAAGTTTGATATGAATTAAAACAAATGTTTTCATTAAACCATGTTTGGGTACCTTTAGTACGAAAATTCTTAGTTGAAAGAAGCATCCCAAAGTCTAGTCAACTATATCAAAATCATGGGCAGCACTGGTGTGTGTCTTACCAGGTAACCCCACTTGTTCAGCAGGAAACCTTTCTTGAGATATTTGCATTGTGCTGAGTTTATTCTTAGTCCACACTGAGTTGGATCACAGCCTTGGTGACTTGTATTTTCTGTTTCCATGTGCAAACTTCGTGTTCTCCATGCTTCTAGTGGCACCATCTCAAGGGAGAAATGATGAAAGAACACATGCCATATTTAGATTTTGTAAAGCTCTACTTAGGAACTTGAAATAGCAGTGATAACAGTTAAAGAATAATAACTGTCTCTGTGCACCCTCTCAAATGTTTCCCACCCACTTTCAACTCTGAAAACCAGTATGGTCTTCCAATGGCAGTGGCGCAAGTATTATCGCAGAGCCTGGCTCAAAACCTTGGAATCCAATGGGAACCTTCTAGTAGGAAGCCAAGTATGTACATTGACCTTCTTACTTGAGTTCATGTATCATTCTGTCTGTGTAATGCATGCCCAGTCATTGAGAATGTTTTATTCCTAAGTCACTGTAGTTTTACTATAGTGCTATCTCATTCCTTAAAAAAAATCTTGAGCAGCTCCAGATAATTATTAGGCTATTTAGCTGGGAGACATTTCTCTTTCAAAATTCATAAGCTCATACATTCTTTCTTTTTTTTCTATTTTTGTCTTTATTATGAACTTAATCTTTTAAAAATCTTGCAGGAAATTTTCCTGTATTCTGGGTGTCTTGATATCTCCAATGCTGATTCTTTGCATTACAGAATAATGCACACTGTATGTACACACTGAGTGTTTTGCATTATGGGATAATGCACACTGTGTATACACATTGAGTGTTTCACAGTACAGGATCATGCACACTGTGTGTACACACACTGAGTGTTTTGCATTACAGGATAATGCACACTGTAATACATTCTTTCTTACACTGAGACTGTTGAGACAAGATAGGGTGGTGGTGATTAATACACTCCAAGTCTTAACCATTTGAGCATAGACTCAACATGCCGGTTATAGCTCCATGGCAAGGTTTACCAAAGATACAGTAGACTGGGAAGGAGCTGAGGTCTAGAGCAGACAAGGAGCTCATATTTAAGTGCTCATGACCCTTACTCATACATTCACATCCAGAAAGGTTAGTCCCCTGCTTCCCCTTCCTGGAAAAGCCTGCCACTGGCCTTTTAAACTTGGAATGGGTAGGAGAGGGACAGTGGCGCTCTGGTGCAGAGCTTGGTCCAAGATGGAGTTCATCCCTGGCCCCTGACCCATGCAACAACTAAAGTATGAGAAGTGACTGTTAATATCACTTCATTTGATCAATGTTTTCACTAATCAGATGAGAGAAGAAATGAAGGAAAGAATCATCTTATCCAGTGGTCTGAGTGCGAAGGGACCAGCAGAGATTTAGAAGCTCATGGAAATACCTAATTTCCTTTAAAATCAGGCTAATGTCTGTATCTCATTTCTTTTAAAAGCAGGATAAAGTCCAACCTGAATTATAGTCCCCTTTGTGCTAGCACGGTAGTCAAACGTAATTTTGATACATTTTTGTGGTAGAAAGCAAAACATCACAATAGGACCTTGTGGAGAAAGAGAGTGGCATATTCACCCATTGTTCATTTAATGAGAAAATAAGCTAAAATCCTCATCTTCTTATTATAATTGTGAGAGCTAGGAGTAAAAAGCTCTTTTCCCACTGAGATCTTCCCAGAGAAGAAAAGTAAAATGCATTATCTTGCATGCTGTCCTCTGTGTGATTAATATATAGTACTGTGGGGAAGCGGAATAGCGTCTTGTGTCCACAGGCTTGATTCCCTTTATGGGTACATGAATGACCAAGCACACAGTGACGGCAACACCTGCAACATTTTGCAAGTCTCTGCAAACTTTCTTTACTTTCTCAGAGAGTTTGCTTTCTCACAGAAGTGGCTATTCCACATAAAAGTTTTAGATAGCTCACAATCAGGGAGGAGAGTCACCAGGTTTAATAACTTAGTTGAAAATCCTGGAGGCCAGTACTGGGGTCAGTTGTGAGATGTTAATGGATTGGATTGTATAGTAGCACTGAGTTAGATTGTTCTCCAAGTCTCTGGCTGATCCCAGCAGTGACTCCAGCAAATTGAATTCCTTTCTTTAACTGCTCTGTGTCTGATGGACTTTGGTGACATTGTGCTGTATTCTTACAGATCATTCAGGGATACTATCTGTGTCAACCCTAGAACCACTCTGGAAGATAGGCAGAGAGACACAACTTTCACTTTAGAAGCAGATTCCACCCCAAACCCATCCCCCCCCTCAAAAAAAGGAAAAAAAAAGGGAAAGAGCTGAGTGACTTCTCTATTCCCTAGTGGTAGACTAAAATTCAGCCTTTTGTTTCTAGCCCATGGTACTTCCAATATTGGATTTTATGACTCTAATTGAGGTGCCTGAGTCACAAACATGAAGAGGGGCCCAAGTAGGAAGTAACCTATACTCCAGGCATAAGGAACCATTGATTTAAAGGAAATAGGGGAGACTTGACACTGTGTTTCTTTGACATGAAGTGGTTTTGAGGAATTTTTGCAGGAGCTGGTGCAAATTGAAGCTGTGACTTTGTTTTTGTCCCTCCCCTTGTTGCTCCTGTTGTTTCATTGGGCTAGAATGTGAATGCATAGAATCCTGGGGCGGCTGCATCATGGAGGAAACAGGGTGAGTCTGCATTACTCTCGAATTTGATGCATGCCCATTGCAAATTTGCTGCATATATAATAATTAGAGACACAGTCTCTCAGGTACTGGTCTTTTAGGCTAAGCACTTAGTATAAATTCAATAATTAATTGTCTGATATTTTAAAACTGACAGTGCTAATTCACTTTGTATTTTAATTTTTAATTTAAGGTTGGGGAGAAAAGTGAAATGTATTAGCTACTTCTATTTATTAACCCTTACAGGAGTCACATGACTAAAAGCATCTACATTTAGGGGAGGCATTAATCTTTTAATATACTTAGAATAAAAGCAGATGGTCTATCTGAAGCAGTCAGTAAAAATCAATTCAGTCATCCATTTACGTTTTTAGGAACTTATAAATACATGTTTATGGAAATAAATTTATAGTATACTGTTTATAGAGTCAACAGAGCCTTTTTAAAAAAATTCAGAGTTATAATGCCTAAACAAGAGAGTTGTTAAATGGTAGGCAATCAACATTAATCCACCTATCTTTCTTTGGTGGGCACTTACATAATGGGACCAGCTGTTAGCATCAGTCTCCCGAGCCCTGGAACCATTGCAATTTCTACAGGCGACTGACACTAGGCCTTTTAAATTGTAGACCACTGGTAGTGGTAGGAGAGGTGTCTCTTACTATCTTTGCTTAGGCCAGACACTTGCATCTTCCAATTTCTGGTCCTACCTTTGTTCTGCACTAATTAGCAAAGGTACTATATCCTTCTACAGGACCCCTTCCTTCTTCTTCCAGGAGACCCTGGAGAGGAGAAGGTTTGTGCAGCTAGCTGTTATCTCTGTAACTTCAGAACATATTTCTAGACATGCAGTTGAAATGCTTGCCCTCCCCAGCCACAATACTTGTGTTCCATAGTTGAGTCCTGTATGATGACACAGGCTTAATAGCTGCCATAGAGAACAGTACCATTTATAATGTTGGCTTTGTATGGCAATATTGTTTTCTTTTAAACTGTCCATTTCTAAATGAGTTTTGGATTGAATACTCATAAGATGTAATAAACTATCTGAAGCTAATATGTATTTTCTCAAAAAGGAGTATATTTGATATATTTCTTGTAAGACCTCACTGTCAATAGAGGTGAGTTTTAATTCTACAAGTACCCTCATATATCAGAATACATAAACTATTGTATTATATCCTAGCATAGCCTCTCACATCAGGCACTATTGCAGATAGTCCCAAGGAACCATCGTGTATGATTTAGCTTAACCTTGATGTGTGTATGCTATTCTCCTGTGTATTGACATAGGGGTCTTAATTTGATTGAATAAATCACAGAGAGGTTCATTTTTTATTCATGCTAAATCATGAATATTGCTCAATAATTGTATTTGAAATGAAGAATAAAGAGCCATTGCTCATGGGAGCATGCCTTAATTCTTTTTTGCTGTGGGCATACACACTGATAACATGTGCATGTATGATCCACCACATTCTTCAGGGTTTATTCATTTACTTAAAATTTGGATTGCTGAAGTCTGAGTAACATTATCTTTAATAAATCGACCTTCCTGACTCCCTCTTCCAAAAAACAAGGTCTAGTAGGCGGATAAAACCCTTGAATTCAGAACAGAATAAAAAAAAAGATCGCCATTATGGAGATATAGTAAACAAAAATTAATTAAACTTTAAAGCTTAGTTTTGATTTAAGGTTTTATAGCCATCCTTTCAAGTTGTGATTCAAGACAGATTTCAGGAGGGTTGGTAGCTGGGAAGTAGCCAAGCTCCGATTTCAGTGATGGTTTTCTTTTTCGTTATTTTACATATTCCACCCCATAAACACAGCCACGTGGGTCCACACATTCTGTCAATATTTGTATAGATTCATCTACATCCAGAGTGGACATTCTGTGGTTTTTAATTTTCTTCTCTTATGGTTGCTTTTGTTAAATTGTTTACATACTTGCTTCTTTATTTCTCAAGGGTATCGCACTCCCGAAAGTTCTCAAAGTGCAGCATCTCAGAGTACAGGGACTTTTTACAGAGGGGCGGCGGGGCCTGCCTTTTCAATAGGCCAACAAAGGTGAGTCATTTAGGAAGTAAAGTTATCTTCCTCAAAGCTTTGCAGTAAGAATGTACCAGACGTCAGAGAGTTCTCTCAGAAAGTGTGCCTCTTGTCACACAATAATTGTTACAAGCAATTTAATAACTGTTGCAAGCAATCTACCTTCCCAGGCTTCCCAAATGCTAGAATGACAGATAGGAGCCACTATACCCACCATGGAAAGATATCTAGTGATAGAAAGTCCCTGCATGCTGAAGATAGACTGAAAGATCAAATTGGGGATCAGTATTCAGTGCTTGTTTGTGGAACCCCTAGTTCTCCAATGTGAAAATTCCCCCCAAATTTTTGTTAGTGTTTTTATCTTTCTGCTAAGAGATAGGGCATTAGAATTAAAAGAACTCTCTTGAATCCGTTCTCTGCCAACAGAGTTGACCGAAGTGTCTGTCCCACAGCCATTTAGACCCAAATAAACACAGAGAGGCTTATATTAATTATAAACTGTTTGGCCTAATGCTCAGGCTTCTTATTAGCTAGCTCTCTCTTAATTATTAACCCATTTCTATCATTCTGTGTATCTCTACATGGTCTTGGCTTACCGGAGAATGCCTAGGCATCCTACCATCCCAGCAGCTACACGGTATCTCCGTGATTTCACCTACTGCCTTTCTCTGTCCCTGTTTGGATTTCCCACCTGGCTAAATCCTGCCTGTCCATTGGCTGAAACAGCTTTATTCATTAACCAATAAGAGTCACATATATTCTTAGCATATAGATGGACATCCCCCATACAACAGTCTCATTTATGTCTGACATTATTTTTGGAGATTTAATTTCCCTCTCCCGAGAGCCTTGTCTACCCTCCAATCCTGACTCCTACACTTTCTGGGGTGATCTGATCCCAGGAAGGAAGCATTGTGGATGTCATCCAAGCCAAAAAAAAATGGTCTTGGCCTAACATTTACAGATTACATAAACACCACAAGTATTTCTACTACATAGTCTCCTTCCCCTGGCAGCCCAAGCTGTCATTGGCATTTCATAGGAGTATGTGTAAACAACATTGTGACTCCTTAACCACGAATTAAAAAAAAACCTACACATTTGCAGAAGAGGTTTTTAGGAGTTTTCAGAAAACACATTTGACAGTAAATCTCCTAAATGTTGAAAATCTTCATTCAGTCCTCATGATGTAAATATTTATGTCTTGCTGTGGAAGCATGAAATTGTTTGATTGTAAGATATGCTCCTTGACATTGACCATGACCAGTCATCATACTTCGCTAAAGTTTAGCAAAGACAGAATTCTCAAACTGACAGGCTAAAGCCTTTGCATAATGCCCTGTGTTTTTATAGGAGCATGTTTATAGGAAATGAAGCAGGCCAGCAGTTGAAAAGACAGTATTGGCACTATTTAGCTGATGGTATTGGAATTTGAACATGGAAAGAATTCACTTTTCCTTTAGAATATGTCTCAAGAGTCAGATAGAGTTCATTTATACAGAAAATGTTCAATACTCTACAAATTTAAAGAGTGGCAATATCATGTTGACCTTTTCTTTAAAAAAATGGTGACTAAGGCAAACAACAGACAGACTAATTTATTCCATACCCACAGCTGAGTGCTAAAGCTGCGGTCAAAATGGAAGCCGGGGATCTGACATCCCTGTGAAATCTCAGTAAAACAAAAGCTCTATAAATCCCTGAAAAAGAATTGAGACTTTTAAAGTGACTCTGCACCATTAAAATAAGCCAATGGCCTTTCCAGCAGTGACCTCCAGGCACAGACACCAGAAGGCTTCAAGGCTTTTGAAATGAGTGAGGTCTGTAATAAAGAACTAATGTGAACTGCTGGTGGTTTTGAATCACACAGTGCATGGTTAGTGTTACCTTGCCTTGCAGCTGCCAGCTAATTGTAAGCACCGTGCTTGAGGAAACAACACTGACTTGTCTGGGAAGGTTAAGGTTTCTAGGGTATACACACAGATCCATCATTGCATTTCTCAGGTTACCTGGGAGCAGGAAGGAAATTATCCTAGTAACTTGGGATTTTCACAAAAAAAGAACTGTGTTTACATATCCAATTTCAGAAGGATAATTTCTCTTTTTAAACTGCAAGTTACAATGATGAAAAAAGAGGGCCCTGTGGCTTCCAGTGGAATAGTTTAGTGTATATGTCACAGAACTATTTTTTTCTCACTCGTGTTCTTAGTCAGTGAATATATGCATAGGCATGTGCTGCTTGTTATCTTCAGTTTATATGCATATTTTCTGTGCGTTAAGAATCTTCCCAGTTGCTGTGATTTCCATCTGGTTTGAGATGGGGACCCATCTCAGGAAGGGGAAGTAACCCAAGAAGGAAAGGATGGGAAGCCTGGTACCAGTGTTTGTTAATCTTTTAGCTGCCCCTGCTCTTTCTATTTTCTCCTGCCTGCTAACCAAAGTAGCATGGACATTAGCATTATTGATTCCCAACCAGCTTGGCAGGAACGTTTCCTTGCTTTTTATAATAGTTCCTTCCTGGAACTAGTAGAACTGGGTCTTTCTTGGGTAGACTCAGTAGAAGGTAACTGCTGCCCACAGTGTGTATGGCTGTTGGGGGGAGGGTAGGCTCTTCTTCTCTTGTTTGTGGATTTGAGCACTTGTGTTGGGATGTGCTAGTCCAGCTCCCACAACACACACCCAGAATTGGTAGACACCAGAGAAATCCTGTCACAGTGGGAAATAGACATTTTTGTCATAAGTAATCAACTTTCTCAACAATTGCTGTACAATATTTTTATCCCGAAACAAGTTCTTGGCATCACTGGGGGGGGCGGGGTTATTCTAGAAACTCTCCTCTGTTATGACTGCAGCAATAGCTGAGAGATGTCTATGTATTCATTCACATATCTATACATTACATTTTTTATTTACGAAACTAAATTGGGTATTATGAGATTGAGTATTTGAACATAGTTCATATATTGAAATTTCCACATTACTGGATTAATTTTCTTTCTGATCAGAGGTAATCCAAGAAATGCAATGGTGGGATTTTGTGCCAGACAATGCCAGTTTCTTTCCAATGAGTGCAATGGATTTGGATCTCTGGCAACATTGTTCTAAGATTATTGGCATTTCCTTGGCTGTATATCTCACATTTGGGTTTGACTAAACATATTTATGTTTCTGACAACTTTGATGTCTTTTTGGCTGCCTTCAGTCAAGTCAGCAAATTAGATATCTATGACTCGTATTAGTAAGACATTTTAGTTCCATTAGAAAACACGGAAGCGATCTATTTCTCTTGATGGCTTACCTCCATAAAAAGTCACTCTAATGCTTAAGTTTTTCTCTCAGGACCCCACTGAGGAAATCCCTAGAGATCCTCCTCCTTTTCTAACGTGTTTTTAAGAGTGTTATTAATAAGTGAATAGTATTTCCCACACAGACACAATGTATGAGATATCATGGCTCAGCAGTTAAGAGAACTCGCTGCCCTCTCAGAAGGCTGGAGTCTGGTTCTCTGCACAATGCTGCATACATAGCCCACAACCATTTGTAACTGCAGCTTCAAAGGACCTAGTGTACTTTTCAGGCCTCTGTGGCTGCTGCCCACGTGCTCGAGTGCATACACTTACTTAGGCACACACATACACATAAATAAAAAGAAGTGTAAAATAATAGTAAACCACAGAAGAATCCTATGACAATGGATGATGTAGCTGTGTTTATAGCCAAGTTGGTGTGTGAATTTTCTGTATAAACTCAAATGCTTCTCTTTGCATTCTCCAATCTCTTTCAGCTGTTTGAGCCCACAGAATGTGGAAATGGATATGTAGAGGCCGGGGAGGAATGTGATTGTGGTTTCCATGTGGTAGGTATAAGAGACTGTCTCTACTTTTAGTGCAGTTCATCCTCCAAGTTAACAAGAACAACAGTAGTGAGCAGCCATGCTATCATTCATCATAGGGTCACTGCCTTATTCTTTTCTTTGTTTCCTGATTGCTATGATCAATGCTTCGTTATCCCAGCTCAGACACGTAAGAATTAGTCATGTTGTCATTACAGCCTTGTCTGAAAAGCCTAATGGATTGTTCTAATCAAATTCCCGACCTTTAAAAAGTTAATTCAGAGCTCGTATTCATCTCAGGCACCTTCTACAGAATCATGAACATTTCCCCAAGCTGGGTGTTATTTTTTCCTTTATAAAACTAAACTGGGTATTAAGAACATGGTAGAGTTATAGAGGTGTGTGTGTGTGGGGGGGTGCCTGCTAATGCATAATCATGCTTGTGGGAAATCAATCTGCTGAGAAATGTGACTGGAGTCTATCATCATGTAAAGTGATTGATTCCTCCCTAATATGTTAGTATACTGTTTATGGAAGTCTTGTTATCTGATGCATAAGCTATACGTGGAGGGAATGCTGAATGGACAGTGGCATGTTCCTGGTTTACTCACAGGAGTTTTTTTCTCTAGGAATGCTATGGAGTTTGCTGTAAGAAATGCTCACTCTCCAATGGGGCCCACTGCAGTGACGGTCCCTGCTGTAACAACACTTCGTGTCTTGTGAGTCCCCTGGAAGTTTGATCTTTCTTCTCATTCATTGACAAATTAGCCAAACGCTTCAGTATGTCTGTCAAGCTTTTGAATGACTTGATACAAATTTATGCATGTTAACTCAGTGATATTGTAGATGAGTAATTCTACCCAACTTCTGGGGGTCATAGCAGGTATCTTTTCTATTATTCACTCTCCACTGTTCTACCTTCCCATGCTTCCTCTAAAGGGTATGCCTGTAATCTTCCAAACTAAATAAGTTGCCCTATTAATACAGATGAACAGATTAAATCATCAGATAGAGAGGAACAATTAAGTTTTTTAAAAATAATATGACCTACTTCCAACATTCGTTTTTCAAAACTTATTCTAATTTGTTTTAGACCCACAGTATAAACACTAGTGCTTATATCTCCCATTTGGCTTTTTGAATCTTTTGTAAAGTCAAGAAAGCCAGATGAAGAAATACTTACATATGTTCACAAGTGTGTGTGTGTGTGTGTGTGTGTGCGCGCGCGTGCATGTGTGTGTGTGTGTGTGTGTGTAGAGTCTTCCATCTACAGTGACTGCCAATTACTTTTGAAAAGTAATTTTAATATCCCTTTTCTCATGTCAGATCCATGACATTTTTGATACATATAAAAATTATGTGATTTTATTACTTTTTTAAATACCAAAGGAGGTTCTACATTATTATATTCTAGAAGATTTTTGTTTAGTTTGTGCTTGCTTCACATTGCCTACCAAATGATAAATTGCTTGAGGCTAATTGAGTCTTCATATTTATCTGTCCTTTGCCAGACAAACAAAATGTTTTGTTTATCATAGGCAGTCACGGACACCACTGAAGGTGATTTATATGAATCCGTTGTAATTTTGTTGTGTGTATTTATCTAAAGCAAGATTAATACTCAAGCTAATGAACAAACTAGTGATGGTTTGGTATATGTAACAGTCCTTCAGAGAGATCTTAAATGTTTAATGACAGTATTTTGTTCCTTTGTGTTAAGTAAACTAGTGTTTCTTTACGTAATCTTCATCACATTGTTTTCTTACCTTAATATGTGGAGACAGTGGGTTTTGTAGTCCCCACACAGTGCCTGTTTGATAACTCATCTTCCCTGTAGGGCAAGCATCAGAGCCCCATTTATAACCTGCAGTGATTTTACCAAATTGTGAGGTAGGTGGGTGGTGATTAGGAGAAAGCACAGGACTGTTGGTGAATGTAAGAATGGCAGCTTTTCGGAAGACCAGTTAACACTAGCTTCTAATGTTGGGTTTTGATCTGTAGTTTCAGTCACGGGGGTATGAATGTCGGGATGCCGTAAACAGCTGTGATATCACTGAATATTGCACTGGAGACTCTGGCCAGGTATGGAAAACAGCATTTTAGCACCTATATTTTGTAATACACGTTTTAATTCCCTCCATAAAAACCACATGTGTGGACCTGTTTGGGTTTATTTATTTAGCTTTGTTTTCTAGATATTTCTAGCTCTCTACCACACTATTACTTCAGGAAGTTTGGTACAGTATTTTGGGACTTTCATCTTTCCTTTTTTTTCTAAATTCCCCCTCATAAATATTTTTATGAGTAGAGATCTATACACGCCTCATAAACCTTTCCCTCAGGCCCCCACATCTTACATGCTGTTTTCAAACATTTTGAACACATTTTTTTAAAGAACAGATTGTGGAAGGGAACTGGTGTAGGAGATAAGCAGCAAGCAGAGCTTCTAATTTCCTGTCACTGCCTCTGTCCCCACGCATTAGTCCTGCTTCTCAGCCTCTGTGCTTTGGCATGATTTTGGTCCATTAAAATGATTACAACACTGTAATTAATATTAACTTCTTGAATCCCTCTTTGTATAATTTTTGTGCTTTTTATTTATAACATGTTATTTTATATCCTTATTTGCCATTCAAATGAACATCTGTTGAGTTACTTGCCAAATACTGCTGTAAATGCCAGGATGTGGAAGGGAACATGGTTGTCTGGTCCTTGCTCTAGTGAAACTTGTGTTCTGTTGTGTGTAGAGAGGCAAATATGATATATATATATATGTACATATGTGTGTATGTCTACGTATAAAATAAGGTGCTGTGTAGAGAAGAATGTGATGGGACATTAGGTTGGAACAATCAGATGGGTCTTCCTGGAGGAGAGGGTATTTTACCAACAGCACCTGCAGAGGAATGGCTTCTTCAGGAGATGGAATAAAAGCAGGCAGAGTTGGAGGATAGCATTAAACGTTTCAAAAAGATGTCGGTGTTTTGGCTGGTGGGACCTGTGCCACAGAAAGGATAGGTGATTTCTTTTGTCCTTCATTTTTCTTTCTGATGTGTCTTTAGGTTTTCCTCTGCTAGTGTGTTGTTTTATGATTGCATGATGTAAATTTATCAGTCAATTTTTAACTAGAGGTTACCCATTAGATTTTGCTAGTTTTTTTCATTGTTTGTCAGTATGGAAGTAAAGACCTTTGCGCATTTGTAGGGCTATTTCTCATGTAGGGTTCTATTTCTCGTGTAGGGTTATTTCTCTAGGTTAAGTTCCCAGGACTGGAGTTACCAGCTGCAAGGTACAGTGGCTTCCACTGGGATCCCAATGAATATAGTACAGTTTGAAATCAAAAGATCACACCTTAAAAATAAAAATGACCAACATGAGTTATAGCCATCACTTAATAAAGGGCCACCTGTGTCTTTTAATAGATCAAAGTGTAGCAACAGGTTGCTGACACAGTTGGTTTCACTATGACTTCCCTGTAGAGGCAGACCCTTCCGTAGTGGGTAGCCTGGCAAAGCAGTGGAGTGCACTTACTTCCCATCCACATTAATTTTCTGGTTCCCAGTGTCTAATTATTCTTCACCAGCCTCTCAGACAACCAGTCTAGTAGTGGGAAAGCAGAGTGATTGGCCCTGGACTGAGTTCTATTTGCTCAAAGGGAACATGAGAAGAGAGAAAGAGAATATGCTAATTAGCCTCTAGAAAGCTCTTCATATTATGACCCATGTCTCCGTTAATGATATAGCACGTAGAAATATGTCCTGACTGTTTATTTATATTTGTGTCCTTCTTGCACATCCGTCCCCCATATTTAATATGTAAGCAGATTCCTTTGCAATGGTTTTCTATAGTGTAATGACAGAGTACAAGAATTGTGGATTCTGTGTTTCACATACCTGACATACAATTTGACTGGGCTGTTAGTTTTATGGAATACTATTATTTTTCATAACTGCAATATATGCCCTTGGCTCTCATGTTCAGTATTTTTAGAAGTATAGGTTTCCATTTCAGTCTTTAATTCCAGAATCCTATGGAGTTTGTTGGAATTCAGGATTTTAAAATGAGGCTATTGGGGCTGGGGAGTGGTTTTGTGGATTAAGTGCATCCTGTGCAAGCCTGAGGGCCTATTTGGATCCCCAACATCTCCATGAAAGCCAGATGTAGTGGCACATGCCTGAAATCTCAGTGTAGGAGGCAGAGGCAGGAGAATCCCAGAGCAGCTTAGTCTAGTTATGATGAGTTCCAGGTCCAGTGAGAGACCCTGTCTCAAAAAACATAGGTGTGGAGAGTAATAAGGGGATACCCAGTATCAACCTCTGATTTCCACAGGTACACATGGAGCTGGTGTGCACATGTCACACACACACACACTCACACACACCCCGCACATATGCACACACACCACATTCTTGCACTTATACCACACTCTCTTACACACACATACACACACCACACTCTCACACTTACACTATACACACACATACATACAACACACACACCTCCCACACCTACACGCACACATGCTCACATCACACATATACACACACACCACACTCTCACACTTATGCACACCACCCACACACATACATACAACTACACACCTCCCACACCTACACACACACACATATATATACACATATATATAGCACACACACCTCCCACAACTCTCACACCTCTACACTCACACACGCAGACGCACACACACACTCATCCTACAATAGCACATGTGCTCATCCATGATGCACATACAAAAGTAAAATAAAATAGGGCTTCTTTGCTCAACCTATTTTATTGCCTAAGAAATGCAACTGTTTTTCTTTTTAACCTCATGTATCTTTGGTGAAAATTGTACTGTTAAATTAACGTTTCAGTGGCACATTAGATAGAATGCTATTTTACTAGTAATTTTAAAATCTGATCACCAGAATAAACCAAAGTAGGAAGCTGAAGTAGAAGGGCATTAAACCCATAATATTGTCTTCTATTTTGTAAGAGACAATGGATTTATTGATATTCAGAGTTTTGATGAAAATAGAATCTCTGTGTCCAGTGTCTACATGGCTGTATTATGCCCTTATCTTTTTGACTTCATGTTTTTAGCTAATTTTTATATTAGCATTTACCGATATCTCTGAACTCTTTTTTTCTTTTAAAACATACCAAAATAAAATATAATAAGATAAAGCAAAAACTATCATATCAAAGTTGTACAGACCAAGGCAATAGAAAAATAAAGGCCTCCAAGAGAAGGCGCAAGTATCAGAGACCTACTCCTTCACACATATAGAGTCCTGTAACCATGCTAAAGCGAAAGCTACAGCATACATACAGAAGACCTACTGCAGACCAGTGTGGGCCCTGTGCTTGCTGCCTCAGCCTCTGAGTTCATTTGAGCTTCGCTCAATTGTTTTAGAGGGCCTTGTTCTCCTGGTACTCTCTATCCCTTCTCTCTCCCACTCCTCTGCCTTCTCTTCTGTTGAGTTCCCTGAGCTCTGAGGGGAGGGATTTGATGGGGAGACACCTCATTTGGAGCTGTGTTGAACTCTTTTTTGTTGTTGTTGTTGTTATTGTTGCACAGTTTATGACAGAATAATCAATACTTGAGCAGCTGAAAGAAATCCTTGGCAAACAATACAGTGACATAACAAAGATATTTGAAAGCTGTGGAAATGGTCTCTGCAAGCACTAGTAATTAGCGGGGGTATTCCACAATTTAAAATAAGCACCATTGAAAACTGCTTCGGGTCAGTTTTCCTGCATGGCATCATCCCAGGAGAACCAGGGGTGTTTGGACTCAGGGCTTTACTCTGAGAGCAAAGTGTCCAGATTTACTCCTGTTCTGAACACCCCAGAGTATGTAAGAAGGCCCAGAGTTCCCTGTTGAACATTTCAGTGATGAGCAATTAGCCTTAATGATTTAACTAACTAATTTATTTATTTATTTTTGAGACATGGTCTTATTTTGCAGCCTGGGCTGGCCATGGACCTTCCATGACCTCCCCCTGACTGTTGGGATCCCAAGTGTCCCAGTTGCTTTTCTATTGCTGTGACAAATGCCTTGACTAAAACAACATATAAAAGAGCCAAACAGTTTTACCAACTGGGGACCAAGTATTCAAATATATGTACCCATGGGGCCATTCTCATTCAGATCACCTGTCCAACAGCTGCCTTTTCGTAGCCTAAACTAAAAACAGATTGATTAGAAGCCGGCTCACTTGTAGCTGTGACAGTTTATAATAAGGGCTATTTTTTTGTCAGTAAAGCAATCTCCCAGTTGTTCTTTTTTTTTTCTTTTCCTTTTCTTCTCAAGACATCACAAAAGCAACATGCCTATTCTAGGAATGCCTTTTTTTCCCTCCTCATTTCTATTTACTGTGATTGTACTGGTTTTAGGGTAAGTGAATAATTTATGATAGTTGATTAATGAGATAATGGTTGTATTCTGAGGGAACTCAGAGAGATGGAAGAGGCCGTAGGGAATCTCTGCTTTTGTAAAGTTTGTTTTAATGTCAATCAATGCATCCCTGAGATACTCAGCACCAGGCCGAGTGAATGAAACTGTGAGGAGCTCCGGCCTTTAGGAAGACATAGAACTGACATTTTACTGCAAGGTGTCCTGTAGTGTGACAGCACGCCTGAAGAATGCTGCACGAGTCCTTCATCTTTCTGTGACGAGCTTAATGCACAGCCCCGTGTGCAGCATAAAAGAACTCCATTTTTACCCGTATGGGTGATCCATTCATTTCCTTAGTCAGCTAAGAGTAATTGAGCACCCACCACATCCCAGTGTTGCTTTGTGCACCGGGAAACCAAACAGCAAATCCTGCCTGCATGGAGCCCATGTAATTGTGGGAACAAAAGGGAGCAAGCATGGGAAATATGTGGACTCTCAGTTGGTGGTAGGTCTGGTGGAGAAGACAAATGTAGGAAATGGGGAATGGAGAATGCCAGCATGGGAGGGCGCTGCCGCTTTAAAGAACATGGTTAGAGAAGGCTCGTTGGGAGGGTAGGAGTTGAGCAAAACCCCTGAGGAGAAGATGGAGTGAGCCCTGCAGTAGTCAGACCATGGGTTGGCAGCATGCCTAGCAGGCATATCACAGGGAGCCACATTGACTATTGAGAGAGCTGGAAATGAGGTCAGGGAGATAATGGATGGGAGGAGCAGATCACATGGAACTTGGAAGCTATTCAGAACCTTGGAGCAGGGATCCCACATGATTTGGTGTTTACGTTTTAAGAGGTCTCTCTGGGAACAGTACAAGGGAGCCAGGGTTCAAGCAGGAAGGCATGGGTTGTAGGTTAGAGTCCAGGTTCGAATGGCGGCAGCCCAGATCCGGCACTAAATGGTAGAAGCTGAGGAAAAGAGTTGATGTCTGAAGTGCGTCTGAGGATTTGCAGTCACACAGCATGGTGTGTGTAAGACAAAAAGACAAATGGGGTGCAGATGCGGAAGGATGGAGACTCTGCTTTGAGGCTTGAGTCACTCACTGTTAGGTCGAAAAGCCATTTGCTGAGAAAGCAGGGAACGAGGAAGGACCTCAGTGCATCTCATTATGCTTCTTACTCCGTGTGCTATACTCTCTTCCAACACTGTGCCACCTGCCCTTCCCCCACTCTCTTAACTGTGTAGAAAGTGTAACTTCACTTATTCTGGATAACTCCTGGGGAAAATGAAGTTCATTTAAAAATGGTATGACAGTTTGTCTGAAAAAAAAAACCCTTTTCCCCATATTTTATTCTAGTTCAAGTCTGTGGTTTGAGAGGTCACAGATGTCACAGTGGTACAGCACTTACATTGATTGCATTGTGGTTCACGACTGTTTCTTCTGCTTCTGCAAATTGTCCCATAGGCACATGTCACCATGTCACATGCAGATCTGACATTTACAAGGAGCTTCGAAAGGTCTTGCAAATTAGTTCTTAATGTGTCCACTTCTACACAGCAAGCTGATTCGTTCCCCCTTGCTGCCCATTTTAGTCCCTTCTGCTTGCAGCTCCTTGACAAGTGAACATTATCTATTATGTAGTCCATCTCCTGGTAGACAGAGAAATATAAAAAGAATTAACTGCATGGACTTTACTCATTTTAGCAATGATAGAATTAAATTAAATGACCTATTAATGGAGTTATATATGTTTTTCTAAATGTTCCTAATTATATATTTACATCCTCTCTCATTTTTATATTAAGCACATTTTTCTGAAGGTATTTTATGTATGTTGAACATCAACTAAAAAGATAATATTTTTCAGTGCCCACCAAATCTCCATAAACAAGATGGCTATGCCTGCAATCAAAATCAGGTATGGGCTAAAAGTGAGATCTCAGTGTAATTTAGAATGAATTAGTGCTATTTCTTTCCCTCTTTTTGATAAGCGTAACTTTAGAAGGAAATTTACTAGAGTAAATTGCAGTGGGGTGATGGTATATATCAGCTTTATTTCGTTCCAAATATTGCATACATTTAATCAGTGACAAATTGTCCAGATTGAAGGAAAAGAAAAAGAAATGTAATGTCTGCTGAAGCTAGGCCTCTAATCTGTTGAGTTGTGACCATCCTTAAATAATTTTACCTCTCTATTTAACAAAAAAGTGACAATCTTTTATAAGACTTTTCTCAAGTCAGTATTATAGTCCCAGCCATTCACAATAAGAGACGTTAAAAGTCAGTTTGGTATCATTTGCAGAATGCTAAAAGCTTTTGTTACCCATAAAAATTTAAGCTTCAATAAGTATTTTACATTTAAAGAGCTGTGCTGTTATGCCCTGAGCTTCTAAATTTTAGTGTGGTGCGTCTTACACTTCTTTTTAAATGTTGGTGTTTCTTATTAGTCACTGGAAAATACTTGAGAATGGGATGAAGAGAACTTCCTGTAATGTACCTAAAGGGGACCTTGTAGTCAGAATGTTGGGGAAATGGCCCTGGTGGCCTGTGACTCACAAAGTATATGCTCTCTCCCCCAGGGTCGCTGCTACAATGGGGAGTGCAAGACAAGGGACAACCAGTGTCAGTACATCTGGGGAACAAGTAGGTTGCATCTTCCTGCCTGATGGCCATATGCAGTTTCCTTTTCATGGCTCCCCTCTTCCAGTCTGTGACAGAGATACACAGCTCAGGAGTGATGTGAAAGAAAAATTTAGAAAAGGATGAAAACTAAGAGATGTTATGAAAACTGTGCACAGGCCTGGAAGCATAACTCAGTGGCAGAATGCAGAAGAGGCTTCAGGTTCAGTTCCCAGTATACCTCAAATAATGATGATGACAATAAAGACAAGAAGTATGGAGGACAGATACACAAGGGAGATTTTTCTCATGGAAACCAAAGTGTCCTTCATTGACCTTGGGTGTTATGTATGGGATGCTGCAGCTGCCTGTGACAACAAGGCCAAGTGCGTTTGTCATAGCCACTGTCTGACCACTTGCATAGTTGCTCGGTTTACTTTCTACCTTGTTGATTTACCTTGGGAGAGGAGTAGACTTCGTTTTTTTTCGTTTTGTCATTCACTGTCTCAGTTAAGGTGATGACATGTAGGAATTTCCCTGGGTGCAGACAGGACCATGGTAACAAATCTCCAACACTTTGCCTAAATGTTAATACGCAGGTCTACTGGCTGACCTTTCAGTAACGCACAACTTGTTCATGAGGGCCACATAGGAACTGCCCTGCTTTGTTTTCTGATAACAAAACAACACTGAGAAAACCTACTTTGGGGAGGAAACGATTTATTTGACTTATGCTTGCAGATCATACTCCATAACTGAGGGAAGTTGGGGCAGGATTCAAGGCAGGGACCCGGAGGGAGGAACAGAAGCAGAGACCTTGGAGGAGTGCTGCTTACTGGCTTGCTTCTTGAGACTGGCTCAGGCTGATTCTTACGCAACCCAGAACCACCTGCCCAGGAGTGGCACTACCCATAGTAGGCTGGCCCCTCCCGCATTAATGAAGAAATGCCCCCACTCGAGACTTGCTCTAGCTTGTGTCAAGTTGATAAAAACTAACCAGGACAGGAAGGCTGAGAAAAGAGACTCACTCCCTAGCTGGCTGAGGCAGGGTCTTCCGATATAGAAGAAAATACACAAAAGAGGTCATGTAAGTGATTTCAGTATTTGACAGGTGTCATTCACGTGAAATATTTCCACTCAGTGTTTCATTTAGGCAAAGATAATAAGGACATAGTGTCTTCTTAAAATCTAAATGTCAAAACAGTGTCGATATAAAATCTCAGCAGAGTCAAGCATGGTGGTTCATGCCTGTAATCCAGCATTTGGGAGGTTGAGGCAGGAGGATTACCAGTAGCTAAAGTCCAGCTTGGATTAAGTAACGAGTTCCAGGCCAGCTGGGTCGAAAGAGTGAGACTCTGTCTTAAAAAAACAAAAAACAAACAAACAAACAAAAAAACAAAAACAAAGAACCTAACAACCTCAGTGGGCTGAGGCTTTTAAATTAATCCCTGATTAGCAACATAAAACAGGATTAGGAAGGTTGGAGTGGTTAAGAGCACTGCTTTCTCTTCTAGAAATTCCAGATTCCATTCCCAACACTAACATGGTAGCTAACAGTTGTCAGCAATTCCATTTCCAGGGGATCTGATGCCCTCTTCTGGCCTCATGTGACACTGTTTGTACATGGTATACAGCTGTACATCTAGGCATAATACCCACAGCCAACCCCCACCTCACACACACTCTAAAATAAAATAGGACTAAGAGTACATATTGTGTGGTGGTGGTGTGCTTACTGCTGCTAGTGATTTTGTTTTTGATGGACTCCTTCAAGCCCACCAACAAGATCTGGCTAGAGAGTTCTCATATGTGGAGCAATTTTGCACTAGCTTACAAAAGCAGCTGAATTTTGGAGGTTTTGATAAGCCAGTGAATGACATACCCATAGCTTGAAATCAGCCCTCGCAAGTTTCCACATTAGGAATTGGCAATCAAGAGCCCCTTTTGATCCTGTTTCAGAGAAGCAGTTGATGGACATTTTGTGGCACCCCACTGAGTGTGAGTAGCCCAGAGAAGTAAAATGTGTTTTCTTCTCTTGTCCATCTCTGAAAGAGGCTGCAGGGTCAGACAAGTTCTGCTATGAAAAGCTGAACACGGAAGGCACTGAGAAGGGCAACTGTGGCAAGGATGGAGACCGATGGATCCAATGCAGCAAACAGTGAGTGGACATCCTGGGGCAGAGCAATTGCACTCCTAGGCCAATGCAAACACCAAGTGAACAAAAAATAGTGTATACCTGTATGAACCTGTCACAAGGTCAATCAAATATATCCTGCTAAAAATAAAACATAGATACATGTGAAAAGAAGAAAAAAGCATAAAATAAACTATAATGCTGTGGACATTCTTGTGCCCATCTCCCTAAGGCATGTACTTAGCAAAACAATTGCCAGGTCACAGGGCTGCATATTTTCATTGTCATCAGATGACATCAAATAGTTTCTTAAAAGTGGTTGTGCTCTAGGAAACTCTCCCATAATGTATGCTATTCTCACCAACACTTGATGCCGTTATAATTTCTTTCCTTTTTTTTTTTTTTTTTTTTTTTTTTACTTTCATCAGTTCTGGTGTGTGTGGATGGACTGCTCTCTTGTCATGGTTTTAATTTGCATTTCTCTAGTTACAAGTGGAATTTAGCTCATTTCCATGCAGATCTCCTTTGTAGTGATGTGACACTTCACTTCTTTGCTGTCATCTTGTATGAGTCATTGCTTATTGAACAGCTAGGCTGGAGGTAGAGGTGTCCTCACGACAGGTGAGTCACTTAATAATGCCGCCAAAGGTCCAGATAAATTCTACCCTTCTGCTGTGTGATCCTTGTTGTGCTGAGTTTTAAACTCTTACACTTGTGAATTCATGGTTGCAAGTGGATGCAAACACCGGGCATTCAAAGATAGATAGTCTGTCTTCCTGCTCTCTGAGGGTGCAACCCTTCCAGCAAGTGTGATCTGGTCTTTCCTCACATCCATTGCTAAGAGGGCTGTGCTGTTCTCAGTTCTAGAGTGGAGGGGGGATAGGACAGAGGATGCAAGGGACAGGAGTGCTGCTACTGGCTGAGACTATTTCTGGCTTTTCTTTCAAGGGTGTACACTTCATGAGTGAAGCTGTAGTCCCTTAGGCAAGGAGTATCATAGCTAAGCCATAGAGTCTGAGTGCTTTTATTCTGCAGGGAAGAGAATATTGAGAAATTTTAGGTCAGGATAAGGCAGATTGCTTGCTTGGTATCTGCAAGGTTCTGGATTTGGTTCCCAGAACTAAAGTATGTAAAAACAAATGTATGTGCAGTGAGAGTTGGGAGTTGTTGAGCTGGATTCTCCCTGTCTTCTGCTTCCTGAAACCCATGCAGTGACGTGTTCTGTGGATTTTTACTATGCACCAATCTTACTCGAGCACCGAGGATTGGTCAGCTTCAAGGAGAGATCATCCCAACGTCCTTCTACCATCAAGGCCGAGTCATTGACTGCAGGTAACATGAAAGTCAAGAGACTAAGGAGAGTTTGATAATCACAGATTTCAACCAAGCAAAATCTGAAAACACCAACAATCTAAGGTTTTACAAATTCATCTTTTCTTTTTATGTGGAAAACCACTTTCAAAAAGTAGTGTATTGATTTGCAAATCACCCTTGCCCAAAATTGAAATAGACCATAATCTTGGGAATAGAGTTGTGTTACAAGTTATGGCCCATACCTCCAAAGCTGGAGATTAGAAGTCTTCAGGTTTTAGAATGTTTCTATGTACCTAATGATGCAGCATGAGGATGGGACCCAAGACTAAGTATGGAATTTACTTATGTTTTGTTTATACCCTACACACACAGACTGAAGGAAATTTAAAAACATTTGGGTGTCTCTTTTATTAGCATAGTAACCATGTATATTAACAGAGTTTACTGAAATACCTCCACACAAGGGTACAGAATGAATTAATTACGTACACCCCACACTGCATACTCTCAAACCACCAGTCTTCACTGTTCTACTGTTCAGCCAACTTTTAAAAGTTTATGCATTTGTGAGATGGTGTGTTGTGCCTATCTTTCTGTGTACAACCCAGGTCACAAATATTCTGTAAATGATAGGATTTCATTCTTCCTTGTGGCTAAGTGATATTCTGTGAGGCACACACCGTATCTCCTATATCCATTCCTGCTGGTGAGTTGATTGATTCTATATGCTGACCATTGTGATAATGCCACAATAAACATGTGGTAGTACTATCTCATATTTAAAAGAAACACCCACATTGTTCTCTTGAAGACTGTATTAATTTACACACACACTCAGTGTATTACAGTTCTTTTTTTTCTTTACTCTAGCCAGTGTTTGTAATTTTTTTAAAAAAAGTGATGGTTACTTTAAGTAAATTGAGATGGCATCTTATTGTGGGTTTGAATTGCAGTTCCCTGAAGCATATTGCACTTTCTTATATTTATTGGCCATTTATATTTCTTCTTTTGAACAGTGATTTTTACCCAGTACTTTCAGTGTGCCTGCATTTTAAATGTGACTGTATTTTAATTGGACATTTCCACTCATGGCATCCTGTCAATACTCACAAATTTTCAGACTTTGGAAAATTTTAGAGTTCAGTGTTTTGTATTAGGGACACTTAACCAGTACTCATTTTACCCCTGGTTAAAATTTTAGAGCATTGGAATATATCACTATTTGAATACTGTGTGCTTATTTTTTATTGTAAGTCCAGTTGAAGCAGTATTTTATGTTGCATGTGTTTGGTTTAGATGTTGACCTAACAAGTACCAAATCACATACAGAAAATAGTTATTAAAATATAGCTTATTAATGTTAGCAAAAACTACCTTTTATTCTTGACTCCCGGTAGACAGTGTCTGCCTTTTATTTTCACTGTCCCAGAATTCCAAACCATTTTTTCTGGGACTGAATAAATGTTGGAAATTATCTAGGAGTAATTCTATACAATTGGATAATGTTGTGTTGGTCAGATAACTGCTATTTTTCCATCTTGTTAAGTGACTCTGAGGTAATTCTTACGAGGCCTTAGGCAGAAAGCTCTTCCATGGAATACATCTGTAGTGTGGTATCTAGTACCTTCTACGTACACGAGCGCTCTTTTAATGTATACATTCTCACATGTCTTTAAGAGCCTTGTTACATTATATGGTTATATTACAAACAGCCATATTTGTAAACCATTCAGCAGTGTTCTCTGTTAGTAATTACATCATTAATTATCATTCCAATTCTAAGTGCCCCTAACTTTGGAACATAAGAAGTATACAGTAGTAATGAAGACCTGGCCTTTTTAATTGTAATAACTAAATCCTTTAGGGTAGTAACAATTTTCAGATACCTTATTTTGCTCTTTTTGCTAACCATTATTTCCCTCCCATACTGCCTTGTCCCCACAATGTATTGGAGAACCAAGGACACACTTTCTCCTTCTCTTTACACAAACATCTTTCACTTAGTCTTTTTTTTATGAGACAGGGTTTCTCTGTATTGTTTTGGAGGCTGTCGGACCAGCTTGGCCTCGAACTCACAGAGATCCACCTGCCTCTGCCTCCCGAGTGCTGGGATTAAAGGCATGCGCCACCACCGCCCAGCTCACTTAGTCTTAATATTGGAAGCAAGAGTTAGAATGTTTCCTGGCAATAATAGTTGTTTCTGATGATGTGTGTTATAATGATAATGAAGGGTAGTTTCTTTCTGGCATGCTTATTAAAGATAGATGGGAAGGAGAAGTAGTCTTGGGAAACCCTTGATAGCTATACCAGTCTCTTCTGTTTCATGAATGGCAAGTTTTGTTTGTGCTGGCTCAGTGTTGTAGCTGTGGTGTTTATGCTCATGTGGATCACTCTCTACTTTCAGTGGTGCTCACGTAGTTTTAGATGATGACACAGATGTAGGCTACGTAGAAGATGGAACTCCATGTGGCCCATCCATGATGTGCTTAGATCGGAAGTGCTTACAGATTCAAGCCCTAAATATGAGCAGCTGCCCACTTGATTCCAAGGGTAAAGTCTGTTCCGGCCATGGGGTAAGTAGACATCAGTGTTACAGCTTGACTCTTTTTAATCTGGGATTCTGAATTCACAGTGACAAGACAGCCAAACACAGCCATTTCTTACTGGTGATGTGGACAGTTTCTATGCTCTGATTATCATCATTTTCTCAGTACCTTTATCTGCTAAAATAATTATTTATAAATTAACTTAGTTTAATTTTGTTATTTCTCATATCATTATTGGTTATTTGTATTGAGCACATTCTCCAGATATAACTTGACATCTGTGTTTGTCAACTGTCTATAGAAAAATAGGACAAATCTCCTATATACCCACCTATCTATCTAAGATTTATTATGAATAATTGGCTCCCATGATTATGGAAGCCGTGACACCACACTTTTTGCTGCTTGTAAAATGGAGAGCCGTTGGTATGATTTGTTCTGAGTCTGTTGACATGAGAATCGGCAGAGCTGATGTTTTGCACCTGAGTGCCAGGGCTGGCGAGGATTAGACGAAGTGTTACAGCTCAAACACTGAAGGGAGAAAAGAGGTTGAATTCCCCTTCCTCCTCCTTTTGTGTTCTACTCAGGCCCTGTTGCGAGTGCAATCAGCTCTGTGGAATTCATGCATTCAGATGTTGCTCTTGTCTGGAAATGCTTTCACAGACACATCCAGAAACGATGTTCAATTGGGCACCCCACTGCCCAGTTAACTTGGCACATGAAATTAGCCGTCACGACATCTTAGAAGTCGTCACGACATCTTAGAAGTTGGAAGAAAAATGATATGGTTCCTAAGGGACTGTAGATTCTGTGTCTGTATTTTTTAATAGCACAAAACAGTGTAAGTCATATTAGTGATTGGCTTTCCTCTGAGATCACACTGACAGGAGAGTGGATCGCAGATGATTGGCATTCTTCTAAAGATATTCAGATATGCTTGGGCTGTTCTCATCCCTCCAACCCCGCCCACACCCAGAAAAAGATGCTGTCCATATCCAAACCTGAGTGTGTCTTAAATTCTGTGACCAAAGTGTCTGAGAATGTTGCCTTTCCTGAAAACCTAAGTTTAACGACAACAATAACAATACCTAAAATTTTTAACAGTGATTTTAGATTGGACTTACCAAAATGAAGGCATTTCAAAATTTATATAGACTTCAGAAATTTGAAAAATGGGTACAAAGAAACAGAGCAGTAATATTTTTTTTAAAAAAAAGGAGATTCTGGAATAAAGGTAGAAGGAACCCAGCATAGAGAGATAGGCACGTGATGCCAAGTAGAACAAGGTGTGGGTAGGTCCAGGAAGCTTCTCTCGTGATGACGTTTGTCCGAACAGGCTCACAGGGAGGCCGTGTGGCCTGGTGTGTTAGTCACTCTGCTTGCTGATATGACAAAATACCTACCATAAACAACTTCAGAGAAAAGAGGGTGGTTTGGATCATGGTTCAAGGGATACAGTCCAGTATTATGGGGAAGGGCGGAGGTCCGAAGGTTATTCCTCACATCTGTCAGGTCAGGAAGCAAAAATGGGTGATGGGGGATAATAATTAAGAGAGATTTAGCCAATAAGAAGCCTGAGACATTGGCCAAACCGTTCAAAATTAATATAAACCTCTGTGTATTTATTTGGGACTGAAGGGCAGTGGGAAGAGGCAGGACAGAGACCTCTGTCTACAGATGGGAAGCATAGGTGCTTAGCTGTCTTCTTTTTATTCAGTCAAGGATACCATTCCATGGGATGGTACAGCGGTCCACATTCAGATTGGACCTTTTCCTTGCAGCTAATCCTTCCAGAAACACACTCAGAGACACCCCCAGAGGTGTGCCTAATTCATGTCCTAGGTGTTTATTATGACACTGAAGTTAGCCATCCTATCTGGCAACTTAAGAACATGGGCTCAGGGACTGGAGAGTTGTGGATTTAAATCCTGCCTCTACTTCTTGACATCTCAGTGACCATGGGTAGGTACTTACCCTCTCTCAGCCCTTAGGTGCTGGTGTGAGGAGTAAATGAGAAGCTTTTCATCAAATTCTTAGCAGAGGAACTTGACACATAATGAGTATTCAGCAAAATTGCTATGTAAAATAAAATCACCAGGCAGACTTTTTAAGCATTTTAGTTATTGCTCTAAAAATATGAGACATAAAAAGCTCTTTTCTGCTTTCTTTTTTCCCCTCTCATTTTCACCATTTTTTAAAAAAGCAAAGTTCAGTCTTATTAATCATAATCATATACCAGAGCATCTCAGATTTAAAAGCTTTGGCATTTGATTTTATCATTTCTAATGATAAAAGGGTCTCGGCACCTTTCTTTCTAGTTTGTGAAGGTTTTATTTGATTCATGTAAATTGGAAGTCCATGCCATTTGCTGCTTGATGGAGAGCTTCAGCCTGCCGACTGGAAAAGGGTGACTCCATAGATGGCAGGGAGGGTGGGCCAGTGCTTATTGTGCTGGCAAAGTGCCACCGAATGAGCTAGGCGTGGTGGGCACACGCAGTGTGCTAGTGACCATGTCTCTTGGTCTTTAATCTTGAGGTTTGGCCCTTGAAAGTGTTAACTTACTGAATTAAACATGTATTTTTTTTCATGAAAGTTCCTAGAGACTTTTGTTTTGGGGAAAAAACCTACCTTATTGGACATTTATATATCTAGATAATCATAAATAATACAATTTTTAAAAAGTTTTCTTCATCTTAATCATTATTTTCTATAATTATCGGAAAACATGTTCAGTAATTTGACCAATGAACCCAGTCCCCAAAGCCATGGGGAAGTTTAGAAGCCTTCTAAATGACTTTGAAAGATCCCTTGTGCACCCTGCCCCTTAGATTATGTTTACTATTGATGGTCCGTAATGTTGTGTCTCTCCTCTTTTTCCTTCACAGGTGTGTAGTAACGAAGCCACCTGCATCTGTGACTTCACTTGGGCGGGCACAGACTGCAGCATCCGGGATCCAGTGCGGAACCCCAACCCCCCAAAGGACGAAGGACCGAAGGGTTTGTGTGATTTCAGTTTTAACCATTGCAGACTTGCTCACCCGTACTCTCCCCCTGCAACACTCTCATGTCCACGGCTTTGGAAGGAGACACTTCAGAATATGTCATTTTGCTGGGAAGTTGCACAGTTCTGTGTATATCACCTTTTCCCGAGCATATTTAAATTACCTCTTAGCCTAGAAGTGAATTAAGAAAAGAAAAATATACTGACTCCCTTTAAGCCGGTTTCTTCTCTGTCCTTTAAACCTTGTACTTTCCCAAAAGCTAATCATTTTATATGTTGTTCCATTTTCGAATAGATGCAGTCTTTGGGGCTGACATGAGACTCATTTTTTTAATCATTCCTCAATATCGCATTCTCTCAAGAGGAAAGTTGTAGTCCTTTATGCCCCATTTAAAAAAATTCTTTTGATTTGGCCAAAGAATCAGTTCTTCAGATAGCTTTAATTTTTCAAAGGAAACGTAAAATGTCTGCAGCTTTGTTCTAGGCAGCCACCAAGAGAAGAGGGAGACCAGAATTTAGCATAATGAGTTTGTGGCAGTTCATAGTCACCATGTGATATCGGAGATGAGAATGCTCCAGCCCCGAGGTCAGGTGACATACCCGTTACCCAGGCAACCAGAGGCCAAACTGGGAGCTTGCTTGCTTCTCTTACATTATTTTATAGCATTGCCTATGTAAAAATGAGTATGACAGTCATTTTCTCATTATGCTCGCTGCTCCCACCCCTCCGTTGATTCTCAAGGATCTTGAAAAACTGTCAGTTACAATGGGCTTCGTGAAGCATCTAGGTCTCTAGTACCCGAGAAAACAAACAATTGCTAGTACCAGTTTTGACATTTGACGATGCCGTTGTACCCCAGCATCTTTTTTGACGGTGATGCTAATAGTATTCTATATTTATATAGACTGCCATGTCTTCCCCCCCCCCCCGCAAGCAGGAAAATGCACATAGGACTAGCATTGAATTGATCACCTTTGTTTTGATGGAAGTTCATTTCAACTCTGTGAACTGCAGTGTGGTCTGTGTGGGAAAACATGCCCCTCAGAGGAGACAAAGCTCCCTAGACTACAGTTCCTGAAGAGATAAAGCCTGGTTTGGATGTATGTGAGTTGTTCCATAACAGTGGGTGTGTTAAAAACACCCTCCATTCCTTTGCTTAATACACACAGGATATTAAAATTCTATAAGAATAATTACCACACCCACACAGTCTATTTCTGTTTTCCCTCTGTTTCTAAAAAACGAGCCTACTCCACTTTTGCATTCAGTCTTTTGTTACTTTAAAACTAGAACAAAGCATTTTGGATCCACCTTCAGAAGTTAGATTCGGAGGCCTGGTCCCTGACAAGAGAAGTGAGCTTCTGCCTCCAGACCCTCTGCACAGCACAGCTATCACTTTCAAAGACCCTGTGCTCCATCCTTCGGAAACTTGGGCATTTTTGTTTGCCGACAGAGCTTTTTTAGATTCTGTCCACGTGTTAGGTGCAATGGGGCTTTATTCACTGTTTTTGTTTGCCATTTCTTCACCCTCTCTCCTAGTAAGGAAGGTCAAACTTGGAGCCATGATGCAAACAGTCACTCTCTAGAGAGGAGAGTGTTTGCCATTGTCTTTTTTTTTTTTTTTTTTTTTTTTTTTGAGACAGGGTTTCTCTGTGTAGCTTTGGAGGCTGTCCTGGCACTCGCTTTTGTTTGACTTTCTCCCATCTATTGAGGTGGCAGTATTTACTATATTTAAGGAAATCGCCCCCCTTTTTGGTAATTCAAATCATACATTTTTTAAAGAAAATAAGTGTTTATTTTAGGAAATACAAGAAAGGAATGAAAAAGACAGTGAAAATTATTCGTAGCTCCACAGCTCAGAGGTGATTAGCATGTTCATTCAGGCTGATCCCTTTCTGGTCACATGTTTTCCTTTTTCTCCTCTCACTGAAGGCAGCAAGTCGTAGGGACAAGCTGTTGATAAAGCAGTCAAAATCAGTGTGAATTTCTAATAATTTTGATTAGGCAAAAATGTCATTATTTAACATAAATGAAAACCAGTTATTTTGTAAATAAATGTCCAGGTAAAGTAGACAGTTTTAGTACAATTAAATAATAGCTCTATTTTGGGGCTGGAGAGATGGTTCAGTGGTTAAGAACACTTGTTCTTGCGGAAGACCTGGGCTCAGTTCCCAACACCCCATGGCAGCTCTGGTTCTAGGAGATCCAGCACCTTCTTCTGACCTCCCTGGGGGTCAGACATGCATGTGATATACATACATTCATGTAGGCAAAACACACACATAAAATAAAATAAATAAAGCTATAAAAATTTAAATAGCAGCTTGATTAGCTATTTGTATCTCTTCATATTCTGTGTGAATATGGGGCTAGGGAATATACTAACAAAATGAGGAACAACAGAAATCAGACATTTTTCAACTTTGTTGCCAGTTTTTATAATTTTAGTCTTTATAATCTCTGTGAAAAGAAAGTGAGAGTAGTGTGCCTTTGACTTTGGTCTCCATCTATTTAGCAAATACATATCATCGGTCCAGTATTTTAAGGGAACACGTGCTCTACACCTAGTACATATTCAGTAAATATTACATCCCCTCCCACTTGGGATATGTAAAAGAAGTGGAATGTCACATAACCCCAAGAGTCAGGAGGCTGAGGCAGGAGGATCATTTCAAATTTGAAGATATCCTGCTCTACTACATAGTAAGTTCCAGGGCAGCCAGGAAACAACACAATGAAACACACCACCACCAACAAAAGGAATGTGGCATTTAGTGTTGATTTTCAATTTATACTTATTCATTTGTATGAAGTCAGTGTCTCCATGCAATATACCATGCTTTCTCAACTGTTGGTTCTGCATAGCCACCAAGCTTCCCTCGACAGCTGCATACTGTATCACTCTTCTCAGCATTCAGTGGGTTTGGCTGCACTTGTTTTGCCTTCCCGAGATGCTTGCTGTATATACTGAGCAGCAGCCACAGGGTTTAGCCAGTCATGTCTTCAAACAAAATCTCCTGGGTAGATGTGGCAAGAACATGTTATGTATGGTGGTGTCTGCCTGTAATGTCAACACTTGGGAGGCTGAAGCAGGAGGATCTTAAATTTAAGGCCAGCCTGGGATGCAAAAGCATTCCAGAACAGGCTAGCTAGTCAGACTGTCCATAAAACCCAAAGAAAATAAAACAAATCCAAGACCTACCTATCTCTGCTTAATTGTATTCCCCTGAAATGGAGAAAACTCTAAGAAGCATAATGAAAATATTGTCTTTTTAACGATGAACTTGGCATAAAAGACTGGTAGAACCCACTGTAGCACTTTGGATCATGACTACATTAGAATAGGCAGATTCTACAACTACCTTTCCACTGAGTTGAGAATGTCAGAAATGGACTTACTTATTTTGGATATCTTGAAATTTAATTCCCAGAAGATCATCTAGATCTGGGTAGAGTCTTAACATGAATGCTGTGTAGTCATTGACTACAGTGGACTCACAGTACTGTGGTTATTTAGATTATTCCTGCCAGATCCCAAACCACAGACAGTTAAGAAAAATCTCTATTCCTAGCAGGCATGTGGGCTAGGATTTCCTTCCGTCCTCCCTGCTTCCCTTCTTTCTGCCCTCTTTCCTCTCTCCTCTCTTTTCTCTTCTCTCTCAGTGGAACTCAGGGCCTCATGCATGCTTGGCAAGTTCTACTGTTGAACTTTATTTCCAGTCCTCTGGGAAAGGATTTTCAAAACACTATTTAGTATTACACATCATCCATACCTGTGATGGCATTGATTCTATATGTGAAAGTCTTTGGAGCTACTCTTTCAACTTGTTTTTCTGTAGATCACTGAAAGGAATTAGTTCTCTTTATCATACACGGATATAATGTCTTCAAATTCTGTTTGAAAGAATTTCCAGGGGCTGAGGAGATGGGCTAGCCTGTGGGAAATACCTGAGCTCTGCTCCAGAACAGCTATGGTGAATGCCAGATTCAATGAGAGACCCTGCCTCAAAAATAAAGGTGGAGAAGTAACTGAGAAAGACCCTGATGCAAACTTCTGGCCTCTACATACATGTACTCACTCTTCATACACACCCATATCTGCATGTACATGTGAACACACACACACACACACACACACACACACACACACACACACACACACACATGGGGGGGTTGTTTCTACCTCTAGAAGGAGAGCCATGCCCATTCATTTTTATTCATTTGTATCCACTTTGCTAAGTGCATATTGCAGGCTATGATAGATTTTTCTCACGTGATGGCTATCACGCCATCACGATGACAAGAGAAAAGAGAAGAAAGTGGGGTTTATCACTTTCACTTACTTGTATGGACAGAGATAGTATTCCTAGGAAGGAAGGTTGGGCAAGACCCTTTAATGAAGACCATGGTCTTCGTTAAAAGATAGAGATGGAAAATTAAAATTAGAGATAGAAAGGACCTTAAAGGCAATTCATCCAGACCTGCTGCTTCACAAACGGGAAAACTAATTATCAGTGTCAACAGATAATTAAGTAAAATGTGATCACATGAGCTTAACCTCAGTGGCTTTTCTGCTACTGCTGCAATTTAAGCAGAATGCTAAGCCCTTCTGCTAGTTTTTTTTTTTGTGCATTATAAGAAGGAATGACGATAGCCCAGCAGCGATTAAGCCCATTAGGGGATCCATTACTTGCCAGCAGTGATTATTATGGCTCTGAAGAACCGAGGTCTATCATTAGAGTTTAGAATTTCGAAACAGAGACTTCTAAATGTTTACAACACACTAGATATTATTTATTGTAGCTTTTGCATATAGCTGTTCAGTGACTTTTATATGACAAACCTTTGATTTTGTAGTTCAAATCATTAAATGTGAGTACGAAATGTTATGTATAATTATATGCCAGGCACTTTTCTTATTAACCGCAGGCTCACCAAAGCTTAAGGTTTTACCATCTTTTAAAATATTTTATTAACTACGAGTTTATCTTATATGAATCCAGAAAAGCCTTTGTATTTTTGTTGACAGCATGAATTGCAGTATTTGTTCTTTTTCTTTTTCTTCTTCTTCTTTCTTTTGTTTTTAGACAGGATTTTCTATGTGGTTCTGTCTGATATCAAACCCATAAGCCCCCTGCAGCCGATATCACAAGTGTATGCCATTATATTCAACTGAAATAATATTTGCCATGAAGTAATTTATTATCATGTCCTTCCAAACGTGTCTCCCAGTAGACTAAAATTGAACTTTTTTTTATTTTATGGAAAAGAGGAGATCTGATTTTGTGTCTAACACATTGGAATTTCCAGCAAGAATATTTTTCTAATATCAGTATTATATGCTGTAAAATAAAGGGGTTTATTTAGTGTTTATTTCTAACCTTCAGTTTAGTAAAGTAAACCCCTTCAGGAAGAACTATAGTCTAGAGGGCGCCGGTGACGGCTTTGCTGCCGACAACCGTTGAAGTGCCAAGGGATACAGGCTCTTAGCCCCTGCTGGCCCGCTGGAATCACGTAGGTGAAACACTGCCATCTTCCTGCTTTGGAAACTCTAAGCAAGGGACATGCAGTTTCAAAAGGAACAGCATTCTATATGTGTGAAGTCTGACTTATCTGTGCAGGAATTCTACTTGCAAAGCAGTCTTTGTTTTTCTTTTAAAAAGGAGAAAATTTATAGTTTGCATCTTAATATTACATGCTTACTAAAGTTGTACATTTTAAGGACCAGCAAGATTAAAAATAATAAGGCTACAGACAGCCCATGGGTGAAAAAGTATGGAGGTGATGAGCATGATCAATCTGCACACTGGAAAGAAGGGCAAGTGTGTCAGACAGCAAGGGGACCAGGCCAAGCTCACCAAAACCAGGACCGCGTTATCAGCTGGAAGCCTTGAGAGTGCCGTGGTCAGGGTCATAGGAGAAAATTGAGGCATGGCATTGTACATGCAACACAAAATCTAGGCGTAAAAGAAGCATTTGCAGATAATGAATGAGTATCAATGAGAGAATTAATGAACAAAAGCAGTTACATGACAAACCAGTGAGTATGGAAGAAAAGCTTCATTGTGAACTTCCAAAGGTCTGAGGGAAAAAGAATCCCAATTTTTCCCTGTAAAACGCTGCCCACTTGAGGGTCACTCCATCGGTCCCTGCTGAACAGATTTGCAAACAGGTTGATTCTGAATTTAAAGAGATAAAGCCCTGTTAAGGCTCAGAACAAGGGACCAGATGCATCTTTTCACATCTTTCCAGTGAGCTTGGGCTCAGAGCGTCAGAAGCCTGCAAGAGAGAGAAAGCCATTTCTCCCACCCTCCTCTCGTTTGCTTTGTGTTAAGAGTGCTTGTCTGTTAAGAATCTGCAGATAATTACTCTTTCTCAGTGCTGATTACGGCCCATCATCTGCCTGCCTGCAATACGTGCTTGAAGCTTCTGCAGGATTTGTTTTTGTTTCCCTGCTAATATGTGCACAGTGGGCCACCTAATTCTCTCCCTTCTACACAGAAAAATTATACCACAACAAACGTAGGAGAGTTTCCAAATTGTTCCTCATCTTTCATGTGGCAGTTATAATTTTAAAAATTAACAAATATTGATCTAGCATCACATTATATGGGAGAGGAAGGAAATGTCTTCCTATAATTTATTGTAGTTACCTTAGGTAAGAGTTGAAGGGAAAGTGGAATTGACTGGTGTTCAGCTCTGAGAGCCAGTACGTAAAATTTAAGCACACTATCTTCACCCCCCCAAAGTTATGAATTAACATATTTGCTAATCTAGTATTCTGAAAGCAATGGTTTTCTTTTTTAAAAAATCAAATTTTAAGTTTGGAACCCTTTCCTTCCCAGTGTTTGTCTTGGAAATCTGAGCTGTAGTTGGGTCATTTTGAATGGACATGTGTGGTCATGCCATGGGATACCATCTAATTCATCTCCCCCCCTTAGCTTTCACTAGACTTTCTCTGCTTTCTGTTGTGTTTCCATCTTTTTGCTTTTTAAAGAATATCTCTGGTTGTGTTTAGTTAATAACCCTTGGGTTCTCATTTATATTATTTACTTGGTGATAAAATTACATAATTGTGAAATTGCTAAGCAGGCTTAGATATCCAAGATTCTCTTCCTTTGGGGCAGTATCTTACTAAAAGGTTCATGAGCCCCAGTAGGAAGCCTTAAACAATTGTGACTGTGAGTCTCAGTTCTTGCTTCTGTTTCCCTGTGTTCATAGCAGTTAATCTGTGTAACACCGTACTGTTGAAGTGAAACTGTTTTCATTGGTAAGGTCATTTGCATTCATTACCTTTCATTTACGTAGAAACAAGAGGTAAGTGGCTATGAGCCAGTTCCCTTGTACACTTATAGACATAACCAACCCTAGATAATATTGCCTCCTACTTCAATACCCACCTTCATGTAACTCTAGTAGAGAAAATGCTGGAGTCTACCCGTTCCAGGGCTATTTTCCAACACATGAAAGCCTTCCACAGAAGTGATGGTGCATGGCTGTTGAATGCCCCACTCTGCACTGATAACTACTTGGTGGTCTATAGCAACTTCTGCAGTTTTCAGAGTCTGTAACTTCCTTTCGGCACACAGATACACACTGGATTCTATATCCAAAGAATTAATGTCCATTTCCTATGTCTGAAGTGCAAACCTTGCAGTTATCTAAAATGTACTTTCCAATAACTTCCCAGGTAAACTACATGGAAAAAAACCTGAATGATATGCTCCTCATTTAAATGATGTTAAGCATAGTTTGCAGTTTGAAAAATTTATGAATTATGCATTAATATTTAGCTTATAATTAAAATATAGATTTGCTGTAATGCAATTAAATTTTTACTTCATACTCCTAGGAGCTATGACTCAAATTGGATTACTTATGAGTGTAAAAGTATTTCTAAGGGATCATGCCTCAAAGTAGGCTTTGTAAAGTTTGAAGATAAAAATTGTTTTCATATATTCTCCAGTGTATATCCATCTCAGTTTTAAACTTTAAGCAAAGATATCCATAGTTTGCAAACTTTCAAAGCATTTTCTGGTGTGATTGTTTTGTATGATAGTGAAATCGGTGTGTGATTTCCTCTATTTAAAAAAAATCTCCATTTTCCCTCCACACAGTGAACATGGCCACAAGCAGGCTCATAGGGGCAGTGGCTGGCACCATTCTGGCCCTAGGGGTGATTTTTGGAGGCACAGGGTGGGGCATAGAGTAAGCATCCTCATGAGTTTCCTAGTGTCTTTCCTTGGTGCTTGGTGTGTGAGGTGATGCTTGAACCCTTCCACGTTTTGTCTTGTCGATCATGTCCTGTGCTGGTGTAATCTGTGGGGTGATGTGGATGTATTTGTGTCTTGTGAGTTTTCTCGTGCACTGTAGAACCTTCTCCTGTCTGGAACAATGTGGGGCATAAAACAAGGTTGGAGTGCTTGTTCACAACTAAGGCAAGAGCTCAAAGCTTCCTTTGCCCTCCCACTTGTAAGTTTTAAAGTACAGATCTTAATTTTTTTCCTATTAATTGGTGAAATGATTTTTATGTGTTTTAATTGAAGTATAATGAATTTGCTTTTAACACTCAAATCTATCTGCAGATACAGTTAAATACCAACAGCTACCACACTTTTTAAAGATAGTGAGAATGACAGCCACTGAATGCTTTTTTTTCATTTAGAATGCTATAGAAAGCTTTAACTCAGTTTTTTTCAAAAGAAGACATTAAAAACACTGTTTTCTTTCTTTTCTTTTTTTTTGTTATAACAATGGTTCACAGCCCAACTTCAAAGTATTCATAAACATCGGAGCAAGGAGCATGACAAGTGAAAATATATTAAGTTCAAACCTGCACAACCTTAGCAAGCAGCTGCAATTCATCTGGTTGGTTTGTCTTTCAAATATGCAGTGTCCACACTAGTGCATTGTCTGTCACTTGCTCATTAGCCTCTCCTGATGCTTGAGTTTAGCTCCCTCTGTACTTGATCCACACCCTCCAGATGGCTGAGGTTGCTAGGCACAGACTAGCTTATCAGGAAGCCCAGTTCTCTTCATTAACCAGAGTGTATTTACATACATATGGCAGGAGTCACCCTTCACACCTGTGCTTCTATTTACTAGAGTTCTGCTGACATTTCAATATATATATATATAGTCTAAAAGGGCATCAGGCCTGACCAGCTTTGGATCTTTTTAAAGAAAAAAATTTGAGACAAATTCTTATCTCACTTTATTGCTTATACCCATCTGGAACTTAACTGGGTGACCCAAGGCTAGTCTTGAGTTTGCAGCAATCCTTCTGCCTCAGATTCTTAAGTGCTGGAATTACAGGTATGAGCCCTCATGCCCAGTTTAGCCTTATGCCCTGTAACTCATGTTCCATCAATATGGTCTGTGAAGCTAGTTAGATCAGGAGAGAGATGGGGGGGACACTGAAAAATGGCTTGTATTTCTTTTTACCTATGAGAAAATGAAGCATGTAACAGTGCTAACATGTTTGACTACAATAACTTGGTCCTGTAAGTTGCACCTTGGCCAGATGTTCCTATCCCAGGGTCAAATTCTAGACATATGTTTAAGTGAAATTCTTCTTAGAAGAAAGGCAGTTTTCAAAAGATCACTCAAATGTGTTTTCTATATTACTTAGTGGTCATAGTTCAGTGCCTTTAGATATAGCTGAAATGATACATTCTGGTCATCCTTCGAGTCTTAGAGATGGCCAGGATCCACAAAATCTCTGTTGTGAACAGTCCTGTTGCCAGCATCCAATCCCATCCATCCTTTCCTGTGTGGCTTCTTTGTTGCTATTTATGCTTGTGACAGGTAAGTGTGAAAGTGTACATTCTCTTCCCTAAAAATAAAGTTTGCTGTTCTTCTTCATAGACAGTTCCCTCTTTACGTTCCATTTATTTGTGTTTGATTAATTAGTGAATTTTTAGAAAACAAAGACATATAGTACAATATAGTTTTAATACTTCCTGGCTTAATTGATAATGCAATGTTCACTTCATCAATAAGACTTCCAGGGACAGAGTTAACGTCTAAATTTCTACTCTTTAGTTTAGAATTCTACCTCAGGAATCACTTCTCATCTCCATTCTGTACTGAATCTGATTCCATTCTGTTTTCTGAGCCAACAGCATGTAAACTGTCTTAAGTGTATGTACATACACAGTACTATCAATACTTGAAAAAAACAATTTCTTTAGATTTCACTGTGGAGAAGTAGGGAGGAAATATGTGGAGCAGAATGAACTTTCATCAGGGCAGCTGTGCACAAACTTTCTGTGAAGGGGCTGGTGTAAATAGCTTTGTCTTCCAAGCTACATCACAATCATTCAACATCACTGCCAACAGCAGCCATACTTGGCATGGCTTCGCTACAACAAAATGTCTTTGCCCAAAGAGATAGTGGGGAGAGATTTGGTTTGTGGTCTCCAGTCTTCCGAACCTTGATTTATAATACAAGTCTTGAAGTCAGGACGGTCTACATTCCTGCCTCACATGTTCCTATGTGAGAATTCAATGAGATATGTCAGAAATGAATGGAGTTGATGCTCGCTAATACAGTCTCTAAAAGGCACTTACAATTCTCACTGCTGGTGTTTACTATCCTTGATGTATCTCCAAAGACCACTCAGATTCATGTTGTCTAGATCCTCCATGATTTAAGAGCATGCCACCAGAGACAAGCCTCATTCTGGAACTCTGTTGTACCCGCTTACACCTCTAGTACTATGTGGTTTCTGGGCAGAACCATCACCCACACCACTGTGGTGATGTCAGCAGTGGTGTCCACTTATGTGTCCAGAGAAGAGACCCTCCTATCCGGGAATGAATGTCTGTAATAAACTTATAGGTTTAGGAAAACCAGCAAAAGTGGCTAGTCTGTAACTTATGGGCAGGTATATGTAGCTAGCACTTGAAGGTATGTGGCTATTAGGGGGCACTCCTGTGCATATACATGGTAGACCCTGGAAGACGTGAAATTTCATCGTAGTTTAAATGTTTAAACTACATATAACTTTGTTTTGATCTTTAAAGGCTGAATGAAGAAGAATGGAGTTACTGTAATGTCTCCCGACTTATCAATGGTGGTCTCTTCATTTCATATTGTCATCTTCGATGTCTTCTCCACTTTATAAGTATGAAGTTTCAGATTTCATAGCGAGAAATGGGAATTTAAAAGACAGTCTCAAATGGAATGTAAAGGATTCTATTCCCTCCCCCCACCATGCTTCCTATAAATTACTCATAAATTTTAGGCCTCCTATACCTGCCAGCCCATTTTGGGGGATTTAACACTGAAGAATCAGGAAGAAATATCCGTGATTGAAATTTCTAAGCGAGATCTTCATTGGTTGACCTCTTTTGACTAAATTCTCATGGTCTCCCAGGACAGAACAAAAAAGCATTGAGAATGTGCTGTGTTTGTTGGAAAAGACTGTCACAGGGTCATTTATCTCCTGTGTTTGGCAAGCAAGCAGGTGGTGCCAATGCTAATGGAGCCTGGTTCCTTGTTTGCACAGATCTGTTTGATTTGTGATAAGGGTGGAGGGGAGAAAGAGACAACACACGTGCACTGAAGGCAAGCGGGGCTGATTTGTTTTTTCAGGAAGATGAACTTAACAGAGTTTAAACATCAGAGGCAAAGAATTGGGAGATTCTGAGATAAGTGATCCAACCAACTGCCAATGAAGGCATCTGACATGGGGTAAAGCTAAGACAGGAAAGCAATGAAAACATTTAGGGAAACTTGGGCATCCACCAGGGTTTTACCTCCTGAAGCTGCTTACCTGCCTTTCCATTGTGGTAATGAAAGTAGTTGGCTCACATGACTTTCTTCCCATGATCCTTTGTCACAGGTCCTAGTGCCACCAATCTCATAATAGGCTCCATCGCTGGTGCCATCCTGGTAGCAGCTATTGTCCTTGGGGGCACAGGCTGGGGATTTAAGTAAGCAATGCCGCATGTCTTTTTCTCTGTGGCTCGGGCACTTCTCTTTCTGCTTACATAACCTGGTTTTGAGTTCCTGCTACGAGACTTTGGGGTTAACAGCACAACCACAAAAAATATGTGCTTTTACTCAGAAGTGGGTTAGAAACAAAGGACATGGGGCTTCAAATGTCATCTTCAGGCAGACAAGGAAGAGTGAGCAATGGAAGGAATTCACTTGAATTTGAGCCAGAACACTTTAATAGAAGACATTCTAAATTATAGCAGCAAGTCTTCTAGGGTGCTTTAATGTATACTTAGGTGACCAAGGAGACATATTGGACATAAATACACATAAATTCCTAATTGTTTCTGCAACACTGATTTATAGTCCATAGGGGTTTCCCACAACCTCAGTCATCATGTAATCATTGTTTTTATATGTAACTTTGTGATTTGAAAATCTTTTATTTACTTACAAATATTTTTAAATACTTTTATTATTTCTCTAACCAACTAAATCTGGAAACAATGACTTTGTGGCATTTACTGTAACATTTACATAGCTGAATGGCTGGCTATGCTTCCATAATGATTTTTAATTTGGATTGCATATTGATAACCAACATTTCTAAAGTAGACCATGCTGGATAATCACAGACAAACCCTACTGTTTAACATTTTTAAACAGATTTATGATTTATCTGGTTTGGATATTTTGTGTCTCAGATTCATTAGCGAATCACTTTCATATATTTTGAGCTATGGTGACTTGATTTTTATTATTTGTAGGTAAGCCTTCTTCTGCCAGATAAATCTCTTTCATAAATAAAGTTTCATCCGTATCTTTTGGGATGAATTTAAGTGGGAAATTAAGCCTTCTGTCAAACCAAAGCCTCCCCACTTTGCTTCCATCCAGCCACTCAACGGAGGAAGCTTTGCTTAGAATGAACATGGAGTGGCCTTCATTAAACCAGTTAGAATGCTATTGTTAGAAGTTGATTGTGAAAGAAAAGATACCAAGATGCGATCTAAATAAATCAACTTTTTCTCTAATTTGTTGTGGTATTATGGTTTAGTGAGTATGCCCATAGCATTGGTGAGGCCTCTACTTGGCAATGCGTATTGAATGGGGCTTGTTTTCTACACAGATGTCTATAAAGTTGGACTTACTTAGTGAAGTAGTCATTTTGGCATCAGCATGCTTGCAGAAACACACAAACTGAATAGATACCTGATATTTGGATTTCTTTTCATTTGATGGAGGCTTTGTCCAGCCCACACCACTT